TCTAAAGTGATCCACATTTGGTTTTCTCCCACTCCAAGCCTCTTCTGGCGTCATATTTCGAACTGCAAAGGTTGGACTTCTGTTCAAGACATGAATACACCAGTTTACTGCTTCTGGCCAAAACGTCTTTGGAACTCTTCCTCTTACCAACAAGCTTCTAACCATGTTGAGGATGGTTCTATTCTTCCTCTCTGATACACCATTTTGTTGTGGTGTATACGCAGTTGTAAGCTCTTTTCGGATGCCATGTTCTTCACAAAAAACTTCAAATTCTTTTGAGCAATATTCACCACCACGATCTGTGCAAAGTGTCTGAATCATCCTTCCTGTCTCATTCTCCGCACGAGCTTTGAAATTTTTAAATGTAGAGAAAGCTTCTGACTTTTCCTGTAAAAAATAAACCCACGTTTTTCTAGAAAAATCATCAATGAAGGTAATTAAATATTTTTTTACCTCCATTAGAAATTGGATTTATTGGACCACAAATGTCTGAATGCACCAATTGCAAAATTCCCTTTGCTCTCCATGAGTTCCCTTTTGCAAATTCAGAACGATGTTGTTTGCTAACAACACATTCTTCACATACTAAGGAATGAGGAATTGTGATTTGAGGGAGGCCTGTCACCATATTTTTCTGTTGGAGCGTCTTCAACCCCCCAAAGCTCAAATGGCCATAGCGAAAATGCCACAACCATGAAGGATCTTTCATTTCAGCCATTAAACTAGATTGGATTCCTTCAATCTTTAATGGAAACAATCTGTTTGAACTCATCTGAATAACAACAATAGCACCTCTCACAGAATCATATATTTCACAAACACCATTTTTAATAGTGATCACATAACCCTTTTCTTGTAATTGGCCAGCACTCAATAAATTGCTTTTCAAATCAGGAACATACAATACATTAGATATTGTTTCCACAAAACCATTCTTGGTTTTTATTTTAATGTCACCTTTTCCCATTACTTTCACAGTAGAATGATCACCAAAACTCACAGTAGATTGAAAATTTTCATTCAGATGAGAGAAAGAAGACTTACTACCACTCATGTGGTTGCTACAGCCAGTATCCACATACCAAACATCTGGCTCAATTTGCTTTTCATCTTTAGCAACCATCAATAAGGTTTCACCTTCCTCCTTTTCTGCAAAGTTTGAACTTTCTCCTTTTTCTTTGCTATTTGGCAGCTTAGTATAACATTCAGATTGATAATGACCAAATTTATGACACCTGAAACATTCTACCTTGGATTTATCAGGGGCTCCTCCTCTGCCTCTGCCTTGAAATTGATCATTATTGGCTCTGAAATTAGTGGACCTTCCTCTGCCTCTGCCTCTGTCTCTACCTCTGCCTCTACCCCTTCCTTGAAAATTGTTGGAATGAGTATCGGTAGAAGCCTTTAATGCTTGCTCATCTGTGTCTTCCTGTTTGAACTTCTGTTCATGCACCACCAATGAGCTCTGCAATTCATCAAGTGACAAATCATCTATATCTTTAGATTCTTCTATAGCACAAACAACAAAGTTAAATTTTGGGCCTTAGGGTAAAAATGATATTGGGCCTCACACTTGATGGAGGATGTTGAAAATAATTCAGTATGAGTTGTAAAGAAGTACCACATAGACTAGACATAGACCAAATGATGACCATATAAGTGTGAAAGACCCATAAACCTACAACCTTAAGATTTTGGATTGAGATGTGGTGTCGGCCACTTATTATGGTTTGTCATTTGGCTCATTGGTGCATGTACACTCTTTGCAAAGGGTTTTGGGCTCCCTCGTTCAATTTCCCAACTCTGGTATTAGAGCCGGATTGGGCTCGAGCTAGCCTAGTGATTGGCTAGGAGGCGGGTCGAGTACTTTGCGCTTCGGGTACTCGGTTGAGGGGGAGCATACCAATGGTGGGTTTCACACTTGAGGGGGAGATTGTTGAGACATTCAAGTGTGATGAGTCTCACATTGGTTGGTAATGAGCTAAGTGAAGAGTATATAAGTGAAAGGACCCATGAACCCAATGCCTTAAGGTTTTGGGTTGAGACATGGTGTCGGATCCACTTGCTATGGTTGGTGTAGCCTTAGCTCATTGGTGGTGGCCCCCCGCCACGGGCTTCCCCTGGACCTGCTTGACATTGGAGTTTGAGGGAACGAATTTTCCAACAGTGCTATCAGAGTCAACGATTTGGGCCAAGTGTTTGGAAGGCCTCTGCAGAAGGCTAGTATGACCCTAATATTTGAAAGAGAAAAAAAAAAAACTTCCGCAGAAGTTTCCCTTAGGGTAAAAATGATATTGGGCCTCACACTTGATGGAGGATGTTGAAAATAATTCAGTATGAGTTGTAAAGAAGTACCACATAGACTAGACATAGACCAAATGATGACCATATAAGTGTGAAAGACCCATAAACCTACAGCCTTAAGGTTTTGGATTGAGATGTGGTGTCGACCACTTATTATGGTTTGTCATTTGGCTCATTGGTGCATGTACACTCTTTGCAAAGGGTTTTGGGCTCCCTCGTTCCATTCCCAACAGGGAGATTGCAATTTGTGGGTGTTTGATAAGTTTGTTTCATGGTGATTCTTACTGTGTTTCTTTCAAGTCATATATACTTTTAAGTGAGATATTTTTCAAGGTGTTGAAGTTGCAAATAAAATTCATTTTAAAAAATTTAAAAATGTGACTATTCATTTTCAAAAAGAATAAAAACAAAACTATTGAAGACAAATAAGAGTATTTAATATTTTAAGAACATTTAATACTTTATTCTTTTTTTTGATAAACTAATACTTTATTCTTTTTATTTTTGGGTACAAATACTTTATTCTTTTAATATTGAGAGATGATGTTACTAAAAGTAATATGTGTCATTTTAATTTATTAATAGGTATCTTACATGTTAACAAAAATTGTAAGAAAATAATTTAAATCATTTTTACCTTCTCTTAATTTCTAATGTTATCCCATTTAATTTAGGAACCTATTAATGAGTTCCTTATATTATTTTTGGAATTTTTAAAAATAATGGAAGAAAATGCATCATAATGGAATGAAATGAGTTTAAGTAGAAAGGTAGGAAGAGTTTTAATTATAACTAAGCGTTGACTCAGGATTTGTCTCATAAATGACACCAAAAGTTAAAGCTTACGAGAATATTTGGAGTATCGACTCGCCATAAGAAGTAGCTAGGGTATTACAAACAAAAAGAAGAGGGGTGGTGGGTTGAAGGAAATGCATTTCTTCCTTAAGTTTTCAATTTGGGAGGTAGAAGAATTTGAGCCCATTTGTAGATATGATAACTGAAATAAGATACAATTTTTATTACCATATTATGTTTTGTTTTTATTCATTGTTTGTTTGGTAAGGTAATAGGATATAATAATTGATAAGTATATCCTCTTACTTAATTTCATAATCTAACAAAAGACAACTTAGAAGCCAATGATATGGCTCTAAATAATGTCATGGCCTATCAATAATAAATAATTTGGTCTCTGATGTTAGAAGCTTGAAACTGATGGATTCTCCTTGGTTCACGAGGCTAGCTCTGTCTTCTCAGTCTCACTCTCTCTTGCTCACCTCTTCAGTCTCTTAATTATTAACCCTTATTTTGATTTTGTGAATGGTGCGACTGGAGACTTATATTGTCTTCTAACCCAACCCCCCTTAAGATTAGTTATATAGAGCCTAATACATGGGATAAGAGACTTATATTTAAATTAGGTTATTTTGATTGGAGATTCCTATTTGTTATACAAGAGAGTCATAAGTTCACCTATTAACAATAGAGTGCCCTTTATACCATGGTATTAGATATGCAGAATAGCTACTAGTTATCCTAATCCACATCTAATCTTGTTTTCTCCTGTATCTTCAACATTTTATCCATACGGACCAAATTAAATATTGCCTATTGAAGGGGCCTATATTATCAAAGTATAACATCCCACGATCATAAAAAGAGGATTCGAGAAGCTAACACACAAAATAGCTTGAGTGTACTCGGGGAAGCTAAGATATGAGGATAGAATGTGGTTAGCCTGCAGTGCACAAGTTGCGTTTAGAGAAGAAGAACGAAGAGGAATGAAATATACAGAGAAATAACAGACAGCGGAATAGACAAATAAATAGAGAGGAGAATTATAGAGGTCACAGATTTCTTAATTGCTATATGCCAAAGCCACAACTAGCATAATTAAAAGAAATATATAATGTTATTACAAAAAAGAAAAAGAAAAAAAGAAATATATAATGTCTTCCACCTTGCTGAATTTCAGCAAGTGTACATCTTACACGCGCACTTAAAATCACGTAATTTTGACTGATCTGTCAGTACAAAAATAAATTCAATCAACCCCAAATACATGAAGCATTCCTTTGTGATTGAAAGGTGATTCGAATTCAAAAAAATACTTGTAAATAAAAAGATAAGACTGCAAATAAAGATAAGACCGCAAATAAGGATTATCACTTGTTAATTGGGGTTTGATGGAAAGTGCTTTTCGTTTTTTTGTTTTCTTATGAGAGAGAGAGAGAGAGAGAGAGAGAGAGAGAGAGAGAGAGAGAGGTTGATATTTCACCCTTCACACAGGGCTAGCACTTAAATGCAAAGATGCATTTTGAGGGTTTTGAGACATATGCTCCCTTCATTGTTATATTTTCCAACAAGCATAAGCACTTCCAGTATTGTCTCAACTGAGGGACAAAAAGGGATACAAGAGAGGCGGACAAATTGATAAAATATTAGGAAGATGGCATTTGACTTGTACGAAATAAAAGAAACAAATGGGAAGACAGGAGAGAGAAGCTATATATCCTGATATCCTGAAGTCTGAAGCAATATGATCAATCATAACATATGACCGCTGTATATAATCAACGTATTCAGCCAATGAAAAGTTTATTCATGCCAGAATTAAAAGTTCAACACCCACAAATTGCAATCTCCCTTCCGCTGTTTATTATCTTCACTTGGCAGACATGAAGTCAATTGCACCAGAGAAATAAATCATGTAAAAAGATTCAGATAGGAATGATAACATTTATTACAGGGTTAGGATAACAATCTTCAGTAACTCGCATGATTCAATGACATGATAATAAAAGGGGGCGGGTATTGATCACACCTAGAACAACAGCTTTTACACAGATGTAGAAAGTCAATCTTTTGCTCCAAACACTTCAATAATAGATCTAAGAAGTCTTATTCTCTCTACACGTTTAGTGATTTCTTCTTGCTTTGTCCACTGTTCTCCCATGAGCAGCTCTGTGATAAAAAAATTATTAGCTTTGCTGATTACAGACCAGAACTGTTCCAAATTTCTGCTGTGAACGTTAGAGCAAACACCACTGGGATTTGAAATTAGGAATTGGTAAGCACAATGGCATCAACAAACTTTGAAAACTAAGAGGGCAGCTAGACATTCGACGAGATTAAGGACAGGTTTTCAGTAGCAGTTCAGAAAAAAATTATATGTAAAAACTGGGTTGAATCAGGAGTAACTGAATAAGCATATAAAGTATTCTTTCAATTGAAATAGAATACAGGTGTAATGATTGATGATGCATACTTATGATGTTCTCAAACTCTGTTGTACCCTCATGAGCATGTAATTCAGCTGATTTCTGTGCTGCTTCAGCACACTGTTCCTCCGAACCATCGTAAAACGCTGCAGTGATGGCACCAACAAGATCGCTTTCCAATCTATCCACTCTTTGCTCCAGAACCTACAACATACAAGACAATGAAATTGAGATGAGATGTGTGTAGTGTGTATCATAACAACGAATTTAAAAGGAAAAGCAAAACCTTGATGGTGCGAGCTTGATCAGCGGTGAGCCAGGCTTCAGTGCGGAGAAGCTCCTGAAGGGACTCCAGATTCGAATCCAGCTCCGTCAGAATGGTCATCCCTCTGCTCCATCCCTTATTCTCCTCCATCACTCCTTCAACAATCATTCATTCCCCTTTTTTCTTCCTCACACTCTTGTCTCAATTCATGCACCTAAATCTAAAACCTAACTATTTATCTCTACTTTTTGGCAGATTGACTAATTGGGTAAAAAATATACGAATATTAAAAAGAAAAATATTTTTTCCAAACTTGATTACCCTCTCTCGGCATGAATAGCACGTGGCGCACCCTGGAAAAGGCGCTAAGTGAGTCTCGGCATGAATAGCTCGTGGCGCACACTGGAAGAGGTTCTATGTGTCTCTCGGCATGAATAGCTCGTGGCACACCCTGGAAGAGGCGTTAGTCCATTTTGCGCCTCTTCTCTTTGAAAAGGAAAAATAAATAAAGCAATGACAGATGTAGTCTCTCATAGAGGCACTAGTTCACCTAGCGCCTTATAAGGCACTATATGAACTAATGCTTGTTCAGAGTGGCTGTCACATGGTATGCTCCCATCCTAATAATTAAATTATGATTAAATTGGCATTGAAACTTGAGGTGATAAGTATTAGTTTTGGAGAGACCTGCTCTAGGTACATTAAATGGGTGATGTGGGGCACTAATTACTTCTCTCTGAGTGGTAGCGCTCTCAAATCCTAGTTCATTCTGGTGGATAGTCCAACACATGATGATGGAAACATGACATACAAGTCCTCGTGTCCACTTTCCCTTGTAGGTTTCAAAACAGTTACTTCTTTTTGGAAAAAATAATAGAAAAGAAAAGAAGATAAGCATATCTTTCTCCGTAAGGTACTGACTGCAATTGTGGGGAATCTATATATCCTGATATCCCCTAAACCAATATGACCAATAATGACATATGAGTGCTGTATGTAATGAATATATTCAGCCCATGGAAAGTTCTTTCATGTCATAACTAAAAGTTCAACACCCCCAAATTGCAGTCTACCTTCCGCTATTTTCTTTATTATCTTCATTTGGCACACATGAAGTCAATTGTTGCACCAGAGAAATAAATCACGTAAAGAGAATATTCATATAGAAACAATAACATTTATTACAGTCTTAAGATAACAATCTTCACTTACAAGCATGATTCAATTTACATGGTAATGAAAGGGGGTAGGGTATTGACCACACCTAGAACAAGTGTTTTTTTGTAAAAAGTCATACTTTTCCTCCAAGTGTTTGAATAATAGCTTCCAAAAGTTTTATGTCATTATCACGCTTAGCTATTTCTTCTTGCTTTGCCCGCAGTTCTTCCATGTGAAGTTCAAACACCTCTGTGAAAAACAATATATACAAAAATTAGGACTTGAAAAGCATAATGGCATCAACGGAATGTGAAAATTGAGAGGGCAGTTAGACATTCCATGTAATTAAGATATAATGAAGAATAAGTGAATAAGCATATTATGAAGTGTAATTTGAATAGAAATAGAATAGAGTTGTAATGGTTGATGATAGATACATACTTGTGGTGTTCTCAAGCTCAGTAGTAACCTCTTGAGAGCGTAATTCAGCTGCTTTCTGAGATGCTTCAGCTTGTCGTTTCTCGGAACGAGCACGAGCAGCAGCAGTGATAGCAGCATCAAGTTCTCTTTCCAAAGTCTCCACTCTCTGCTCCAAAACCTACACACACAAAAACACAACACAATCAAATTGAGATGCGATTTGATGATGTGGTGAAGCGTAACAATGAAATTGAAATTGAAAGGGAAAAAGCAAGACCTTGATGGTGCGGGCTTGTTCAGCGGTGAGAGAGGCTTTGGAAAAGGTGTCGTCGTCAACGAAAACAGCTTTGGTGAGAAGAAGCTTCTGGAGTGACTCCAGATTCGAACCCATTTCTGTCAGATTTGTCATCGCTCCGCTCCATCGCTCTCCTTTATTTTTCTCCTCCATCACTCCTTCAATTATCATTCATCCATTCTCCTTTTGGCGGATTGTGTAGGCCTGGTCTGATATGTGATGTGTTGTGAATGTTGATCCACATTTAGGTTTGAATAAAAACTTATTGGGTTTTATAACATTTACGATCATACAAGAAAAGAGTAATTGTGTAATATTATAAAGATTCGTTTTGCGTGCCGTTATTTTTTATTTATTTTTTTCAAGATTACAAAATATTGTGTGGGTAGAAAAGTTTGTTGTGTCATGTTAAATAACAAATGCAAACCTCAAACTTATTTATGGAATTCTAATTTAAAAGCTCGGTCCATGCCTATCTTTTTTTTCTTTTTTTTATATTAACCTAATTTTCACTCTCATTGTTTTCAATCCACTCAAGCTATCAAGCAACCATTTTTCATCATTCTCTTCGTCGAAATCATTTCCAAGCATTTCACCATCATTTTCCTTTTTGATTTCTGCCATCTCCAAGCATTCTTTGAATGATTTTGTTCTATACTATGTTATTTGGATATATATTGAATTTATAAATATTTGTAGAATTATTAGTGTTGTTGATCATACATTCTGTTTGAATAAATTTTTGTTATATTATTTTTTTAGTAGACTAAGCTAGTTTTATTTTTTTTTATAAATAGTTAGGCCACGGGCCAATAATTATATTCATAACAGGTTACAGACTAGGTCAGTTTGACATATTTAAACATATGCTTAGCCTTCCAAGAATAAAGTCCGACTTAACTCGACCCGTTGACACACATACTCAGAATTATAACTCTATTAAAGCTAAAACTTAACTATTTATCTCTTATTTTCAGATTGACTAATTAGGCAAAAGAATTTTTTTTTTCAAAACCTAATTACCTGTCTGGGTTATGCATGTGTTAAAATCGGAGAGTTTTGTCAAATATTTTTTTATTTTATAAATTGATTACTCTGATTCAATTCGAACTGGTATGATCACATGAGCGACAAAATTCTCCCTATTAAGTTTTAACACAGCTACATTCTCAAAGATTCAATCTCGAGACAATGGATCGAAACAACCCCTTATCATCAGTGGATCACGTGTATGGTGGTAATTTTGTCAAATTTTTAATCCCATCATAATCATATTAATGGAGTAGTTCATGAATAAAGGAAAAAAATTAAAACAATAATAAAAAAAATGACACATGATACTCTCATAGTTTTGCTAGTTCACCTAGTGTTAAAAGGTCTAAGTCGATGATTTCCAAAGTTTGTCATGTGGTTTGCTCTACTTCCGTTAATTAAATTGATATTGAAAATTAGAGGTTAGGTTTTTTGTGACATTACTTGTTGAGTCAAATAATAATAATGGTGACATTCCTTTGGGATATTGGTTTTCTGGAAATTGGTTTCTTGGAATGAGAAACATTTTAAGTGAAGGCAATTATAGATGGGCTTGTAAATTTGATCTTTTATTCTTTTAATCATTATAAATATTAATCAAGTACCCACTTAGATATTGATTTATTGTACTAGGCAATTGAGCTCTAAATTTCATAACGGCTATCTTTCATTACCTTTTCAAAGGCTAGAATCACCTCAAAAGAAATTGGCTTATAGTTTCATAATTTGATCCTTTTTTATGCACCGTACTTATATTTTTAATAATATTTATCATTATCTTTTATTCTCAAGTTATTTTTCAATAATGATTTCAACTTCCCATAATACATGTTGCACATTCAGTGAAAATTATTGAGATGTAAGGTTTCTATATACGATATCAACAAGAGATAACCACACCCTTTTTTATTATTTTAGTAACATCTATCATTAGCTTTTCTTAGGTTCTTTTTTCAATAATTGAAATTCACCTCCCAAAATGTATCATTTCACATTCATTGAACATTATTAAATGAGATATAGTTGTTATTTATGGTGCATTGAGAGGTAGCTGAGCTGCTATTAAACTCAACTCTCATTTGCAGAGTGCAATGAGTCAATGACCAAGAGGCTTATTCGTTAATACTCATAATGATTAAAGGAGTAAAAAGACCAAATTTATAAGCCCGTAATTTTCTTGCTTTTAGAAGAGCCTTCATTTTAGAGACTCATTTCAAGAAACCAAAATCTTGTTTGGTGAATGTCACCTTCAAATATTAAGAAATCACATATTTGCACAATGAATACTGTTATGGACCCGTGGACATGTCTCTCCTTAGGACGGAACAAATACAAAAAGGCTTCAAAAATTTGTTATGAATGATAAATGAACACCTTTTATTATTTTAATTTGACGTTCCAGCAACTGAATTGGTTGCCTTCTTCATAAACAAAAGAATCATTTATTGCTTAGTTACAAGTACACAAGTAGTTGCAAGTTTTAGTGATCTTATAGATCTACACATACGGCGATAATATATTAGTTCATATAAAAACTTTCCACAAATAATTACCATAAAAAACAAAGCATTTCCTCAACCCAATAAATTTTGATCTGCGGTTTTTTCCTTTGTATCTTTCGCCCCAATGGTTGAATTATATTAATCATTAGTACAGCCACTTGAGAATGAGGATTAGTTGAAAAGTTTTGAAGTAGTGGTGCATTCTTCATTTCTTCTAACACTTAAGAGCCAACTTAATCAAAGGAATATCTGATGCAATTTAAATGTTACAGAACTCAATAATAGAGTGTAAACGAATAGGATTTTTTTTTTCATTTACAGAGAGCCCAGATAGAGACAAAGTAAGAATTGAGATTGGAGCTGCTGCAGCTGCAGAACTAACATGTACAATATTTTAGTATCTTTACACCCAATTGAAATTTCTGAAGACTTGGCAAACAAAAATTCAAACAGACATGGGAAATTCAATCTGTATAACAAAGACGAGAAACAGAAACACATTTTCTACTGACAGCTTTAAGCATACCTTCCACATGCTGTGTGAATTTGCAAAGCCATACACAAAAGCTGCCAATCCAATCAAGTTTTCATTTTCCACCAGAGTACAGAGAGGATAAAAATAATATAGCAACGACTAGTAAAACGGAAAAATAGTGTCTTCATCTGCAATTCAGCCTCCTTCCAGGCGTCTGTGGATTGGATTTATGAGAAAACAGTAGTAAAGAATAGAGTGGAGATATGCTGAAGAAGTTCGAGATTAAATAAAAAAGAGTGAAGATACATACATGGATTCTCTTTCTGTTGGGAAACCGCCCGGAATTTTTTCAAGGATTGGGAGGATGCTTGCTTTCATCATTCAGATTTCAGAAGGAAATGTTTCTTGAACTTAACCATCTCTCTTTCGCTGAATGTCATACTCAGAACAACATCATTAAGTGAAAAAGTGCAGCAGTCAAGCACATTTGAATGATTTTCTAGAGAGAGTTTTTATCTTCCCTTGTTAGAATACATCACATGTTAGTGCATAATGGTTCTACAATTTTTCATTTCTCACCGTTTAACTTTCCTCTTCTACAGTTCTACAGATGATTAAATGCTTCCTAACACGAAGATGCTGTCGCAAATCACTTTAATGCATGGTACTGTTGTTAAAAACATAACTCAATTGATGCCATCAGCAGAACTGCAACATCCTATCTCATCAGAACTTGAGAAAAAAAAAAAGGTTTTGCTTCTTAGAGAAACGCTTTCTTTGTTCCTCAAAGGTATGATAGAAAATTCATCTAGTTTACAAGTAGTGAAGAAGTATAGGCCAAAATAGATAGAATTGGAAAGAGTAAAGAAAGAGAGAGAGAGAGAGACCAAAAATAAGGACCTATATTGAATTCCATAGTTAAGACACCTTGTAAAGAGGAGTTTTTCAGCATGTATAATGTGGCTAATGCATATGAAATCAAACACCACGGATAGAGATTTCAAGTTGTTGTACTCTTTTAGCCAAGTCATGTTTACCACAATTCTTCAATCCATCAGTGACCATATCAAAGCAGCGAGATATAGGGACCAAACCAATCTCAGCCATTTCAAAAAGGTAATTAGCTGCATCAACAAACCTTCCAGCACGACCACACATGGTAATTAGCATAGTATAGAGAGGACGATTAGGGGGATGACCCTTTACCTTCATATCACTGAAAAAGCAAAATGCATCATCAAATTGACCCCTCCTGCACAGAGCCTTAATTATAGGCGCATACAAGCTTGGAAAGGGACGTTGACCATCCTCAACAGAATTATGCAACAACCTAAACGCTTCATCCATCAACCCTGCCCTCGAAACCGCAGGTATGAGGATCTTGTAAGTGTTAACATCAGGAACCATCCCCAATTTACACACTTCATGATAAAGACCAACACAGAATGCAACCTCAGAATCAGTTTCAATCTCAGTTTCAGTTTCAGTTGTATCAAAGTCACTCTTGCATTTGCACATTGCTTCAAGCAATGCATTGAAGGTTCCCACATCAGGAACAAACCCTTCCTTGATCATCTTCCTCACCATTCCTTTCGCCGATTCGAAATAACCGGCGTTTAACAAACCTTCAATTAGAAGATCACGACCTCTAACTGGAGGGTTAAACCCTTTCTCGCTCATTTCCTTCAAGAACTGCTTAGCCTCTTGCATTTTCCCGGTCGAACACCACGCGTTAACCAGAACCGCGTAGGTTCTCTTGTCAGGGGCAATACCTTTCCGAACCATTCTCCGAATCAAGGCGTAAGCGCCATGGAAGAGCCTGGATTCGCAGAGGGCTAAGAGGAGGGAGTTGTAGAGTTGGAGATTTTGGGGGCAATTGAAAACCCTAGACTTGTTGAAAACCTCGACGGCTTGGTCGACGTGGCGGTGGTGGCCGTAGGCTTCGATGACGGAGGAGACGGCTTCGGGGGAGAGGGCGAGGCGGTGGTGGTGTGTCATCTGGTGGATGATGGTCCACATGGTTTGGTAGTTGTTGGCACGTGCGAGGATCTTGACGATTTCTTCGAACTCGAGGGAGGTTGGGATGTAGGGAGGGTGGTGGTGGTGGGAGCGGGCCCAGTTGAAGAAGCGGAGGGACTCGGCGGAGGAGATGGAGCAGGCGCGGAGGACGCGGAACACGAGCTCCGGGGTGACTGTGATGCCGAGTTTGTTGAGGGTGCGCTCCATGTAGAAGTCGCGACGGACGATGTTGGAGATGTGGTGGATGGCGGCGAAGTATTCATCTTTGGCGGTGGTGGAGACTGAAGAGGAGAAGTGGTGGCGCAGAAGCTGCTTTGAAAATGGAGCATTTGTGTTTCGGAGGAGTTGGATGAGTTTTGCACTTGTTTGCAGCATTGCATTTGCAGAACCCAGAACCCAGATAGATAGACAGAATCTGTTATGTTTGTATTATTCTCATTCTTTGTCTTAGAATTGATCATCCTATTCCTAGGTTATGAAACTCTTTCTTCCTGTTATGTTAGTCTTTCTCATGTTATGTTTAGGATTGTTACTTATTGGCTGAAGTAACACATGGAATGGAATTCCTTGTTAGTCCAAATCAGTGTGCATTTTGTTTTGTGCCAAGGAGACAGTGTACGGGGGGTAATATATTGTTGCTCAAGTAAGTGATTCATTTCATACTACGACAAGAATGAAAGGGAAAAAGAGCTTGATGGCTATCAACGTGAATAAGGAGGTGTATGACAAGACAGGCTTGTTGCAATTTTTCTTTTACACCATGGAGAGGCATTAGACAATGATATCATCCCCTTTCTCCATTTCCTTTTGTGCTCTCTGATGGAGAGATTGGCCAACGCAGAAATGTTACAAAAACAAGTGCAAATCTTGTCTCCCGTTTATTTTTCGCCAACGGTTTACTCTTTGTTGAAGCTTTGATTAGGCAAATGAATGAGATCATACGCGTAAAAAAAAAAAATTGCTGCATTTTTAAAATTTTTTCTTTTCCCCTCACCATCACCAACCATCATTGGTTCCGCAGCATTGGTAACAACTTTCGTACAAAAATATTCGTGCCAAATAATATTACATTATAAGGAAAAGACCAGACCTTTTATCCAAAAATATAAATCACAATAGAGCCAGGAAGCTTGGTTCAATCTTGTGTTTTTCACTAATAGAAGATCTTGACAAGTATTCAAGTGTTCCACTATTTGCATAAAAGGGTGAATAAGGAAACCTATCACCCTACCTACAGAACTCAGAACAAGGTCCTTTGGCCTAAAACGAGAAAGCTTCCGCACTGGTTACGTGAATTCAGATTCATGCGCTTACATCTTTTTCTTGCAGGTGATAGTATAAATCTTTGAATGATTACCTCTATTTAGCTTCAAAAGAACAACGTCAATTATACGTGAAAAATAAATTACCCTTAGATAATAAGCTCTAAAGCTGCTACTCTTCAATGGAAGCAAAATACCATCTTCAAAATTCATAAATTTCCGACCCAATAAAGGGATTGCTTAGGAAACAAGAAGGACATAAAGCAGTACTACTAAACGGCCAATCCCATGAAATAGCTAATAATCAAAAGATCTACATATGTGTGGCTCTGCCCATCATCCAACATCTGGTGCTTCATCGCAAACTGCTTGATCAGCTTGTACCATTCTGTTCACCAGTATTACCCGTATTCGGTCTCCCACCACAACAGTAGAAGTGTGGAAGCCTGACACGACCACAACTTCTGCAGAAGAAGTGAATTTAATTACTCATATCTGAACCAAAAAAATATACAAATTTAATTTTTTTTATCTTTCTGAACAGCAGTATATATTAGACATGTTCTATTAGGCAATAGTGCATTATGAATTTAGTAAACATACCTATGTATGTGATGCGGAGACAATAGGCATGCATTATGAATTTTACCAGTGCAAGCCTGTCATAAATACTTCACGGGAAGAAGATGGTGGAATCCCATACATAAGATACGAGGGAACCTAAAATACATTTGGAAGTTTTCAACCCCGCCCCCTCTTTTTTCTCTGTTCTCCCTCTTTATCTTAAGTTATTGCATTGGACGTAGCAAGCTCAATACAAGTTTGGAATTCTATGATATACCTCATTAGTCATTACATTTAGAGTACAGTGAATCAGTTCAATCCTATCCTTCAAATCTGTCAGTATAAAATATGTGCCTCTCACATTATACAATTCAGTGGGTAGCTCTGTTTGCTCAGAAAATGAGAAATGGAAATGAAGAACCATTTTTTGAATCTTCCATTTAGGAAATAAGACCTAGAAATTGGAATCCAGTTGAGCAAAAGTTCACAGTGTGAACTTCTAACGATATCTAATAAAATTTAACTATTATACAACGACAAAAATTTCCTTCAAATCCCTGACATTCAAAGGCTCTACTATAGCAAATAAAAAGAAATCACTAGAAATTTGCAGAACATAACAAATAAGAGCAAACATTACTGGAAAAACAAACTAAAGCTTACTTGCATAGGACAAGAACAGGAACAGGTTTCAAAGCTTTTGGTCCATTTCTTATTCCTCTTTTATGGGGAGAAGTCTACATGACAAACAATACCATTAGAAAAAATGTAAATTGCAAAATTGAAAGTTATTCAGTGTGCAAATTATTACACTCACGTCAATTCAATTCAACCTAAAACATTACATCACTATACTCTGTCGATTGATACTCCCAATAGTAAAATTCAATATTTCTAACCTTCCTTTTAGGGACAGCCATGAGCTCCATAGAGTCACCAAAAGAGAAACTTGGGAAACTAAACTCAGGCAAAACGGGTTGTGGCGACCGAACCCCGAGATCGATGCTCCCAGCCAAAGGAGGAGATTGGGGCACGGAATGGATCCATCTATTGAACCCTAAAATGCTACTCATTTTCCCTCCAGTGCCCCTGAGAATTGCGAATCTCGTTGCCATTGCTGTGGTTTAACAATATAACACCATGAAGCCATTGAAGATAGCGAGAGAAGAAAAAAAATAAAAATTATGGAGATTTTAAGTGAACGCGGGATTTTGAATTAAAAAAAATTATTGAAAATTGAACAACAGAAAAAAGATAATTGAAGTTGGGAGTTACCGAAATGAAACTGTGGAGGAACTGTTATGCTTGTAATCGATCGTTGGATAAAGTGAAGTCAAATATTGGTCGAAAGGACTGGAGTGTGCATCGAAAAACGGCGTTAGTTTGGGGCGGTGTTCATTATTGCCGCAAATCAAGGCACTGTTCTGTAAATTTCTAAACCCTAACACGATTGAGGAAGAAGACACTACGGGAAGTGCACGTGCAGCTTCAATTTTTATATAAATAAAATTATTATAAAAAAAAGATTTGATGTTTTTTTTTTTTTTTGGAAAAACTTCATTAACTCTCATGTAACTTTTCTTATAATCATTTACCTTCTTCTCAAAATTTTGAATCATTTATTTTATTAACTTAAATTTTTTTATCACTTATCACCCTAACCTAAACTTATCGGGTAGTAAAAGTCATCTTCACTGGCAGAAAATGGATAGACTTCGTAAGCCTATCAACAATAACCCATATACAATCATATTCAGCTTAAGTCCTGAGCAACCCAACAACAAAATCCACACATATACAATCTCATTTCCATACTGGAATATCCAGAGGTTAAACAAACCACTAGGTCTCTGGTGTTCAATCTTAACTTTCTGACAGATTAGACACTTCTCAACAAACTTTGCAATGTCATTTTTCATATCCGACCATCAGAAATTTTCTTTTAAGTCATGATACATCTTAGTAGCCCATGGATGAATAGAGTATTGACCTTTGTGTGCTTCAGTCAACACATCATCCACTAACTGACCCTTGGGCACAATTATCCTTTTCTTGATATCATTTAAAGCCCTAACTATCAACAGACACATCTTTCTGACCTGTCATGGCCACAATGTCCTTATCAAATTGTTGAGCCTCTAGGATTCTCTCCAACAATGCATTCTGAATGGCAACTTTCTCAACTTCCAAGCTACCATCGCCTTTACTGACCACCACATTTAGATTTCTTAAGTTTTCAATCAACTGATATTCTTTAATCATCAGATTTGCAGTCACAAGAGATTTCCTGCTCAGGGCATCAGCTACAACATTAGCTTTACCCGGATGGTATTTTAGTTCAAATTCATAGTCCTTCAAGAACTTCATCCATCTCCTTTGTCTCATGTTCAACTCTTTCTGGTCAAACAGATACTTCAGACTTTTGTGATCATTATACACTAAGAAACTAACACCATATAGAAAGTGCCGCCATATTTTCAAGGCAAACACTATGGCTGCTAGCTCTAGATCATGCATAGGGTAATTCTCCTCATGTGGTTTCAACTGCCTAGAAGCATACGCAACAACTCTCCTATCTTGTATTAGGACACATCCCAAACTTTTCTCCGAGGCATCACAATAGATCTCGAAAGTACGCTCAGGATCAGGAAGGGTCAATATTGGAGAAGTCGTCAACTTTTCTTTTAGTACAAGAAAACAATCTTCGCACTCCTGAGTCCACACGAATGTGATCTCCTTTCTAGTCAAGTGGGTCAATGGTAAAACCATTGTAGAAATCCCCTCAATAAATCTTCGGTAATAACCGGCTAATCCCATAAAACTACAAACCTCAGATACTGTCTTCGGCCTTTCCTAATCCATCACAGCTTCTATTTTACTAGGGCCCACTGTCACTCCATCAGCAGATATGACATGGCCAAAAGACTGAACATCAGACAACCAGAATTCACTTTTAGAAAATTTAGCATATAATTGATTATCCTTCAACACTTGCAAAACAATCCTAAGATGGTCCGCATGCGTCTTGTTATTCTTAGAATAGATCAAAATATCATCTATAAATACAACCATCCATATATGGCTTGAACAAACGGTTCATATAGTCCATAAACACTGTTAGAGAATTAGTGAGACCAAAAGGAATTACCTGATACTCATAATGTCCGTATCTAGGCCTGAATGTAGTCTTCGGGATATCATCTGACTTAAACCGAATTTGGTGGTAACCTGACCTCAAATCAATTTTTGAGAAGGCACAAGCACCCCTTAACTGATCAAGCAAATCATCTATGCGAGGGAGAGGATACTTGTTCTTTACAATTTCTTTATTTAATTGCCTGTAGTCGGTCACAAGTCTCATGTTTCCATCTTTCTTCTTAACAAATAACACATAGTGCTCCCCATGGGGACACCCTAGATCGGATGAACTGCTTAGCCAACAAGTCCTCAATCTAATTCTTTAATTGAGTCAGTTCCAAAGGAGACATCCGATATGAAGCCATAGAAATGGGTCCCACACCAGGCAACAATTCAATGGAGAGCTCTATTTCTCTCTCTGGTGGAAGATGTGGAATCTCATCCAAAATACATCCATGGATTCGTTTACAATTGGGATATCAGCAATCTTATCCTGAGTACTGCTCACTAATCTTCCCAACCGTTTATAGCCCAATGCTCCCTCCTCCAAGGGCCGTCTAGCCTAATGCATTGATATACAAGGAGAAGAGCTAGTAGTAGACTCCTCAGATAACATCACCAGTTTCTTACCACAACAATCAATCACTGCACAATTTTTAGAAAGTCAGTCCATACCCAAGATAACCTGAAGACTAATCATGGGTAGACAGATGAAGTCAATTACATAATATCGGCATTCATACTTAAATTCAACATCGTTGCATATATAGGAAGTACTACACTTTCCCCTCGTAGCCGTAGTCACTTTCATAGGAGGAGACACTTTATACATTGGCAACTTCAAGCCTACAACCATAAAATCCGACATGCAAGAATGAGTAGCCCATGTATCAAACAAAACATCTATACCATGATTATCAATATAGATCGTACCTTTCACCATATCAGGCGCTTTCTCCACCTGCTGCTGAGTAATAGCATAGACTCATCCTACAGACTGAGACTCAGGAACAACTGGTGTAGAAACCATCTGAAGAGGTGCAACCCTGACATCTCTCTGAGGACAGTCTCTGGAGTAGTGGCCAGTCTTGCCACATTTATAACAAATCACCTGGCCTGTGGCACACGGTCCTCTATGCTCCTCACCATAACTAATACACTTAGGAATCAGTGGTCTCCCAGAAGAACCAGTTTTCTTAAATTTATTGCTTGTTTGCTTCACCTGCAAATTTTTATTTTTATCATTAGATTTTTTGTCCTTCCAGTAATTAGAACCACCAGACTTCTCGGAGTCAGACTCTTTTGAATTTTTGTTCTTTCGCCTCCTGTGGATATCCTCAGCAGCCCTACATTGATTAATCAAAGTGGAAAAATCTTTGGAGCCACAACCTTCAAGACTCTCAGCAATTTTGTCATTCAATCCTCTCTAAAATTTTGCCGCTAAAGACTCTGAATCTGGCATAGCTCTCCTGAAATGAGCATATTTAGCCAATTGATTGAATTTGGCCAGATATTCATCAACATACATATCACTCTGCACTAGATCATTATACTCTCCTTTTTTCCTTTCCCTAGCATCTCGAGGAAAGTACTTATCAAGAAATTGTCTCTCAAACAAAGGCCATGTGATGGCAAATCCCTGCAACTCTAGTGGACGAGAAGTATTCATCCACCAATCTCCAGCATTGCCCTTAAGCATATAGGTGGCATATATTAACTTTATGCGATCATCACACTCCATAACCCTGAAGATACTCTCTAAATCCTGGATCCAGACAGCCGTAGCAATGGGGTCATAATTACCGTCAAAAGAAGGAGGTTGATGCTTCCTGAAAGCATTTAATTGTCTGTCTCTAGCCTCAGCATTATCTCCAGCCACTATATGAATTGATATCTGCCCTGTACGAATAATAGCACCACCAAGATGACTACCCTCTCCCTCTCCATCCTCGTGCTCTACATGGAGAGTATGCGAAGATGGAATGGGAGTAGGTGGTGGCGGTGATGGAGGTGGTGGGGGATGGTTCCAGCTTTACCATCCCTTTTGCCTCTCAACTTAGCCATCATCTGGTTCATCAACAGCTGATTAGCAGCAATAATATCTTGATTGGTTTTCATAAGTGTTTCATTAGCCTGCCTACTAGTAGCCAACTCCTACTGCACACCAGCCAAAGCAGTAGCTATAGGATTAGGATGTCCTGAAGTGGCCCCCTCATTATTCTGGAGTCTCACCAAAGTAGCTAAGGTAGGATCTGTCTGATCGTCATCTGTTGCCGGAGGTCTCCTAGGAGGAACTATGACTCTGCACATGTTACACAAAGGAATGAGTTCATCAGGCCCACACTTAGTGGTTACACATGCATTATCACAGTAAAACCTAAAAGCCACTCATAAATAACATAGTTATTGCAATACATCAAGGAATTCCCTTTTCAAAACTGCTCTGATACCATAATATGTAACGCCCGTCTGTACTTGGTTAATTAACATTCATATGATATTAAATGCAACACATTTTAACTTATTAAATCTGGAAGCTCGTGGTTAAATTTTTCCTTTTTCATTACGTATTGCAACCATATCTGCTCTTTTTACATTTCGCGGACGATATTTCGTCTGCTTTTTGGACTATTGGGATTAATTCCCATCCTAAAAATATTCACCTGATTAACATTTTATCAATATACTAAGCATGCCACAAAATGAATAAACATCTTGCCTAGCCATCAACGGCCTAAGCTATCTCATAGTAATATGATCTCCATATAATGTCCATAATGTTACTTATATAATTACATCAAATGAACAAAAGAGATGCAATTAAATAAATAACATAAACTTGAGCATGCATCACTACAACATATATAGACTAGCAGCATGGCATAGACATCCCCTATGCTCTCAAAATAATGACATGACATATAGATACATATCCAAAATAAAACTATGCGAAATACATATCAGTATATCAATCAAATCATACTATCATGTCAGATAGTATCTCTCCTATGGCATCTTGTCAGGTGATGCCTCAGCACCATCAGCTCCTGTACCTGAAATGGAATTTCCCGTAACGTGGGGTGAGATAATATAATTACCTCAGTAAGCTAAGAACCCTTGGAGGGCTCCTTCACCCCTAAACTCACTTCTGGTATAATCACAGTATAAAATCCATGCATGCATCAGAATATGTATATCAATGCAGTGTGCAAATAATAAATCCTATTGGTCAGAGAATATAACAAGTATGCATTATACAAAGAAACATCGTCTCATACTATGCATAAGGAAATACCGTCTTATGCCTCACACAAGAAACATCGTCTTGTGTGGCACACAAACATATATATATATATATATATATATATATATATATATATATATATATATATATATAACCAATCATTTTAAACATATCATATCAAACTACTACCCTCTCTCGGAGTTTGATGGAACAAACGGTGGATTAACCCCAAGGACCAAAAGCTTACCTGTCAAGCATTGTCCTCCAATGCACTCCTCGGATCCAAGGGATCACAACAAAAATCTCTCACAATATCACAACCTATTCCAAATTTGTGAAGATAATCAGTACATATATATTAGTCTATCACATTCAATTTTCAAGACTACACATACAAAACACTTACACTTGATTTTGAGTCCAATTTATCAAAGTGTTTTAAATGGCGATTTCATAATTTTTCCTTTTACGGGAGTCAATCCCAAGCATGTTTAACAAAAGGGACTCACTTACAAATCACCCTCCAACTACCCATACCATTAAATTTTTGAAATTGACATATAGCCAAAAAAAACCATGATTTTCTATAGAGAGCTAAACTGTTATTTCTTTTTTTGTCTTTCTTCAAGAAGCAATCCTAAGCATATTTAACAAAGGAAGCAATAACCAAATCACTCTCTAACTATCCATACCATGACTTACCTCAATGTGAAAAATCCACAAATCTTCAACTTAAGCGAAATGGATTCCAATCCATGGAAATTGCTTAAAACAACGTTGGGATCAACTCTACAACATGAATATACCACAAACAACAACACAATCCATAAAATCCTCACACTTTCATGCATTATTCATCACAAAACCTATAATTCTTAAAATTTCATGGAAACAAGAAAAGAGAGGTGATTCCTTACGACAATGTACTCAAGAATGAAAGGGAAAACTTATTTCAAGCTCCCATGGCCTCAAGCTCCATCAAAACTCATATTTTCCATCAAACCTGAAATCTTAGGGGAAGAAGAACTCTCTCTACAGTAAACCTCACACGAAAATATGGGTACCAATGTGTTCCTCTCGAAATTTATCACAAATTTAGCTTTGAAATGTAGTGATTTGGAGGTCTCTAGCTCTCTCTATAAATTTTGAAAGATTTTCACTCAAAATCCATTTTTTTTCCTCTCTGTCGATGTCGCTGGAAGACGAAGAAGAAATAAGAAGGTTTTGACACTTTTCACTTAAATAGGTTAAGTGAAATTCAACCAGGTAAAGGCTTATCTATCTAGTCACCTCTATTCATTATCGAACTTTACCCAATGGACTATAACAATTTCTAGTCATATTTCTATTTTATTTTTTTATTTTTTTTGGTAAACGTCATATTTCTATTTTTACTTTTACCTTTTGGGTAATTTTTCTACTCACATTTTTACCTCTTAACTATCATTTTTAACTATTTTTTTCTTAGAAGTGACTTTAATTCATTTACTTATAGGCTATGGTCATTATAAAAAACACAGAAGAACAATATCATGGTAGTTAAAATCTGGATTTAAATCTTAAAATCCCAATTTTAACGATTTATTTTTGCTAAAACGATTTAGATTTCACTTAAAATCAATTTCAATATAAAATCCCGGTTTAGACATGTACTTAAGTCCCGATTTTAAGATTTAAATCCCAATTTTAACTATTGGAATGATGTTAAGCAAGTTAGAAAATTTGTTGAATATAACATTGCTGATGTTTCATCCGAAGATGAATGGATTGTGGAAAATGAAGGAAATTTATCTCATGATGAAAGTTTAGATGAGGACAATTTTGAATGATGTAGTTGAAGATCATGTGGAACAGAATGTCTTCGATGATAATAACTTGAATGATTTATTAGCTTAGACCCTTAGAGTGTGACAATTGTATGCAAATGTATAAGGATGGTGGCAGGTAGTCTATTTTTTTTAATTTTTTTTATGCATAAGCATATGTATATAAAAATTTAATTTTAGAGTGCAGGTAAAATCTACGATTTGTATTACGATTTACGATTTTTTATTTCCTTTCCGATTTTAGGTAAAATCCCGATTTTGACTACCTTGAACAATATGAATGTTACCTTACACTTTTCATCAATAAGCAAATAAGTATAAATTAAACCTAAGAGGAGAACATAATGTCATGGTTGTCAAATTGTTTTGAATGAAGGAAAAAAGAAAAAAACTCGCAAGAAGTTCAATTTGTTTATGGAAAAAGTCTCTCAATACTTTATATATACTTCTCTAAGGAAGAAAGATTCATTCTCAAAATCTAAGTGTTAGAAAAAATCTTTAAATTTTTGTAATATTTTTATAAAAAAAAATCATCACGACTTAAACAAAAAACTTTTAAATTTTCTTTTAAAAAGAAAATCAAAATTTTAAATTAAATTTTCAAAAATTAACTTTCCAAAATTTGATGAAATAAAATCAAGCATTTCAAATAAACTTTCCATAATTTTATAAAAAATAAATAAACCTTCAATCAAACCTTTTGAAATTTGTGCACTAAAAAAAGTATCATTATGTAGGGGTTTATAAAATTAATTTTTTATTTTTCTTTCTTGCTTAAAGATATCATGAAGATTCATTTCATTCAACTATTATATGAAATCTAAAATTTTATTTTGCAATTTCGCTCTTTACTATTTCATAATGTTTTTGTTGCATTCACTTCTTCATAATTCATCACATATTAAATTTTTTTAAAATTCAAGAAATTATTAGATAATTTGACCTACTTATTGGTTATTACTAAAGTGAGACAATACGTGAGACCCAACACCTAACTCGTCCAACAAATATGATCATCCTTTAAAAAGAAGCAATAAATTTTGAATGAAATGATAATTTATACCTATGCCCTTCACGAGTTTCTGTCATCAAATGTGAAAACAAGTCTTAATTATTTTCACTAGGCACAAGTCTTTTTTACGTACCATTTTTTTCCATAAAATTCTACAAATAAGAAACAAAGTCAAAATAAAAATTTTATGTCTTTCAATTAAATTATTATATTATGGGAAATGTTATACTTACTACCTATTTTTCTTATTACTTGTTACTACCAAATTTTAACCGTTGATTTCCGTCAATCTAACGGTTATAATTTATTACAAATTAATAATTAATTAATATGTATGATCCCATAAATTACAACCGTTAGATTGACGGAAATCAACGGTTAAGATTTAGTAGTAACAAGTAGTAAGAAAAATAAGTAGTAAGTATAACATTTCTCTTATATTATTTATAAATTAATGTTATATAAATGGGTTTTATATATGTGATGTTGTAGGACTCTTTTAGTGTCATGTTACTCTAATATTTATTAGAGTAACATGACACTAAAAGTATCCACATGTGACATATAAAACTCTATATAAATATATAATTAATATATTATGTAAATATTTGAATTCTTAATTAAATACGAAAAAGTAAACAAATAGGTCAGGCAGGCAAACCAATTTTTTTTAAGGGCCTAAATCTTAACCTACTTAGTTACATATATCTATTCAAATGTCTAAGCTATTTTTTTTTAAAGATAAAAAATATAAGCTTAACTTGTTTGTTAAATTGGTTAGACTGAAAATGTTACGTCATAGATCTCTTGATGAGATGCAAAATTACATTTTATGTTTTATATCTTAGAATTTATATTTTTATTTGATATAAATTAGTTCTATTAGGTTTTTAAAATATGCTATGTTCCGTATGTCTTTTTTTTAATGGTTTCTTTTATTTATTTTTCAAGTGAAGCCTTATAGAATTTGAGGTAATCCGGCCATATTCTTTTTCCAATAAATAAAAATAAGTGAAACCCATTAAATATTAAGCATAAAGAAGTAAATAAAATAGCTACTAGGTAGGTCATTTTATAACTTTAGTAAACTTTAGCAAACAATGCATTAAATCTTCGGTACTGGATTACTAAATAAATTTCCTCCCCAAAAGACTTCACCCAGTTTAAATTTACATAGGGGTGGACAAAGTCCTCCACCTGCATTTCATAATGAATATAATGTAAACAAAATGTTACATATTGACTCGAACTTCTTAGCGTGATTGATTCAAATTTACAGCTGATATTTACATTTAAGGCAATGTACCACACCAAAATTAAGTGGATGAAATGCTGTCATCTCTTCAAGGCCCATTTTTTATCAATATCAGAGAAAACAATCTCCTGACAACGTAAAAGTCCACTGGCTCCTCCAAAGCACAACCATCTCTCACTACCCTTGTTCATGTTCCATCTCACTCTATGGAATGCAACAATTTTGGGAGGAAAAGCTTCAGGTATACTCTCAACATCTGACTTTTCATTATCAACCGCTGGAGTACTTGTTGACACATCATCTCCGCAAACAAGAGCTGTGCTTTCTGCTGGTTTTTTCTTGCTGGTACCACTCAATTTTGGTCTTTTTGGCGGCCCCACAGAAGACAATGCTTCCTCAGATCCAGATTCCAAACCCAAATTGTTACCATCACAGAGGGCTGCAACAAATTGAAGACTTGATAAAATATTCTATTCTCATAAACTATAGCAATTAATCATATTAGTATCAAATCATAATTAGCAAGGCTGACCTAAAGTCTTAGAATCAGAAGCTTTTGCCATTTTATTATTATTTGCACTTTTGCTAATTTTTGACTTGGATAATAATTCTCGGAAAGATTCAGCATGCCTGCTCCTTTCATATGACTTCCTCAGCGGGAAAGGAGAGTTTGATACTGGAGTATTGATAACGAGAGTTGATTCCTCCTCAGTTAACGACCCACAAAGAAAAAATGGGACTCGATTGCGTGAACCATCTGTATCCAATCCTTTAGTAGTAAGCTGAGTACAATAAAAGAAAAAAAGCTCAGATTTTTTTTTTTGGGGGGAATATTCATATGCAAATAAGCAAGGATTGCAGTTATAATTTTGAAAAAAAATTAGTTACAAAATTTGAGGAATACTGTCACAACTGTACTTTTAACATAGATTATAAACCAGAGTCCTCTCTCAAATTCTTGTTCCTTAACAAAACATCCAGGTCTCACAGTTTTAAGAGAATATAAGGTTGTCCATCAGCCATCAATAACTGTCGTAAGGCAAGCGGATTATTTCTTTAAAAGGCTCCATGTCCTGATATTGCTTCACATTTAACTTATTTTGTATTGGCTTAATTGAACATTTAGTCCCTTTATAATGTTCGATGTGTGATTCTGGTTTACCAATAATTTTTTGCAGCAATTAAATTCTCCAGTTTTTGTAACTGTAAAAACTAGGTGCCTATGACAATCAGGACACTTTACTGAGCAAAGCATCTTAATAGACTCACTGACGACTTCAATTTATTCAAATGTCATTTTATATTTCATCTATTTGCATTGGGGGATTAAAGACAGAAGGTCCTAATTTTTTCAATTACAAAATTGGAGGAATTGATATTTGCAAAAAATTATTGGTGGACTAAAATCACAGATTGACCATAGTAAGAAGAACAAAAGTGCAATTAAGCCTTTTGTATTTTTTTTAAGTAACCTATTCAAGGCTAGACGCTATCGACCTTCATCTTACATTTATGTTTTCTGGATTAGAGAAAATCATCATGGGTTCACAATATTTATATCTGTATAATACGTCTTACACTCCTAATTCTCAAGTCCAACACAAGATACAAGACAGCTTCCAATATATATGCTAATAAAATTGGCATTAGTCCCATAAATGAGTGCAGCCAAGCAACAAAAGCCTTTCGCCAGGATTTGCTACTAGATTTACAGGATTATGAGCTGAATATGTCAAAGATCAACTCCCCTAAACATTTTAAGTTATTAAGTGAAGGAAAATTTATATCATTGACATGAGTCCCCTCTCTCTCGAGAGTATTTTAGGCTTGAAGTATTAACAATGCATAAGCCAGTTTTTCCTTGTATTGAAATTCAACTTAATTATAAAGATTGAGGGCTATAACGATCAAACTACCATGCCAAAAAAATAGGTGTAGCCAATTGCAGGTGATATCTCCAACAAAATGTTAAGACTGACCTGAAAACGGAAGGCAGTTCCATCGGCACAGCAATATGCAACCATGCCTAACATAATAAAATAAAACTCATCATCTAGTTAATAATAAATAATGACCTGCATTGTTTAAGTGACTCATTATGATATTTAAAAAACTTAACAGTAACAAATTTATCATTACTACATAACTTGCTTGCTGAGAAAAACAGTTACCTTTGATAGGGTAAGATTGATAGTACATAAGTTTTTCTATGCCTAAATTTTTCTAAAAGTAACGAGATTCAATAATTAGATTCAATAATGATGACGTCAATAAAATAGTGCATACCAAAAAAGTACCTGTTATACGTGACACCTGAACACTCCAAATGGCAGAAGATGAATACGAAGAACTGTGCATCCCAGGTTGCTTTTTCCCATTGTATGTAGTCCCACTTACAGGGAGATCATTAACAGTCTTCGCCAAATTAATGGTTCTCACTGTTCCATCCTCAAAGGACATAATGATGCAACTATGAAGTATAGCAAAATAGCTCTGGGTTAATCAACATGATGAGCTCAGACAGCATTTGATCCAGTTAAAATCATGTATTACCTTGGATTTGACAGCCAATCCAGACAGTATATGATTCTTGGCGCAGGATGGAGGCTCCTCAAATGACGAAATGGATTACTACAAATAAATTTGCATTCATAAAGCAAGGAAACAACAAAACTAATTACATATGAGCATATAGATAGTACAAAGTAATTTTGCCTCAACAGTTGATTTATTATGCAATGCTCACAATATGAATGCAAATGAACTGAGATCACATTCTTGAGGATACAGAATTAAAAAAGACATATGTATCTTCTATCTTTATATTCACAAGTCAAAGCTTCACCAGCACAAGGTTCTTGAAGAGAATAATACTTGCTTACTGTAAAGTGTAAAAACAGCTTTACAATTAGTCATAAACTAGGATAGTGTACAAAGCAATTTAGCTAGGTTCTACTGTCAACAAAAACTCCAAATTCCTACTTACCTTCCATAACAGTAAATTAAGGGCCCAACTGTTTAAGCTTTTTTAGGAGAAAAAGTGCTTTTTTCATTAAAAAGCATGTCTAAAAAAATTAAATAATTAATTTTTTTTCAAAATATAAGCAAAAACATAAAAAAAGAGTTGTTTTGCTTTTCCTAGAAGCCCAAAAAAATAGCTTATGGAAAAAAAAAGTTCTACAAAAAGATATATTACAAAAGCACTTTTTTCAAAGCTTATACAAATGGGCTCTAAATTCTATTGCCAAATAAAAGCAATTTTGTTCACTGGTCAAATGCCACAAAAAAAGTGCTTTTAGGTAGGACAAAAAGTCCCTTTATATTACCAACAACCATGGGTTCAAGTGATAAGGAATTTTTTCCCCTTAACTAGAGGTATCAATAAATCGGTTTGAAAAATCCAAAAAAAAAAGGTTCTTTTATGTTGTTTAACAGCACATGCAAACAGTATAAGAAACCATCAGTTTTAATTTACAATGGAGCTACTATGAGCAATAATACTAATGTTAGACTAAACATGCATTACTATCAAATGTTGTTAGAAAACTAGGGTTACAATGTTATTAGTTTTGTCGTATTTGTAAAGAACCAATTCAACCCAAAAGCTTAAGTTGTTGGGTGAGGTTACATTAATGGTTTTATATATATCAACACGCCCCCTCACACGAGAGACCACTGGGCTTGAAGGGTGGACAATACACACAGGCCCACCTACCTGTGCGAACAAAGAAATTCCACTTGAAAGAAAGTGGGGGGCGGCGAGGATCGAACCCGGGACACGAGGCTCTGATACCATGTAAAGAACCTTTGGTTACACCACCCCAAAAGCTAGCTCAAAGAGTGAGAGTGCCCAAGGCCTTATAAACTTCACATTAGTTGCACATACAATCAATGTGGGACTATATATCTCAACACGCCCCCTCACACAAGAGCCCATTGGGCTTGAAGAGTGGACAATGCAACAGGCCCAGCCTACCTGTGCTAAGAAATGCCACAAGAGAAAGTGGGGGGCGGCGAGGCTCTGATACCATGTAAAGAACCAATTCAACCCAAAAGCTTAAGTTGTTGGGCGAGGTTACATTAATGGTTTTATATATTTCAACAGTATTAATGGTATTGCACTATAATATGCAATCAACAACAACCAAAGCCTTTCTCACTAGTAGCACTACAATACTATAACATATAAAATGAATATTATTGAGAGCCCTTTTTCCTTCTTTTCCACCCAAACACTATAATTTCATCATGTTATTAAAGCAATACGATCTTCTGTGATCTAATCCAATCACTATTCTGCTAAAGTTTCCAAAATATGAGTAAAGAACCAATTAACCCAAAAGCTTAAGCTATTGGGTAAGGTTACATTAATGGGTTTTTTATATATATCTAACACGCTCCATCACACGAGAACCTATTGGGCTTGAAGGGTGGATGATGTATTAGGCCCAGCCTACCTGTGTTAAGAAATTCCATAACAGAAAGTGAGGGACGTGAGGATCGAACCCCTGACACCGAGGCTCTGATACCATGTAAAGAATCAATTCAACCCAAAAACTTTAGCTATTGGGTGAGGTTACATTAATGGTTTTTTATATATCTCTAACGTTTGGTTTTCCTCTGTTTACCTACTGTAGTTTCTGGTGACTCACATTTTGTAGTAGCTTTCCCACTACCTGTCAGAGTGTCCAATTACTTTTCCAGCCAAAATCCCTCCAGACTAGCTTGCTCACCCATTCTGATCAAGCACAGACCTGTTTGGCCCATCCGCTCACTGGAAACTTGCTGGTCTCATTGCTGGAATATTAGGATTAGAACAGTAGGGTTATTATGTTATTAGTTTTATTGGGCTAGGCTTGTAATACTTGACTTATTGGCCTCCTTTTTCTCTTTTCCTCCTCTTCCACCTAAACCATATAATTCCAATACTTGTGATGCTCAATTGCTCATGCTCCTAAACAAAAAATATCTGTGCTCTAAAGAAATTGCAGCATGTGCCAATTTTTTCCATACTTTAATTCTAAACTATAACACCATAACAGAAAAATTGAAGAGGAAATGCTTTTGCACCTATGGTGTCATTGCCATCCTTTTCTTTCTTTCTTTTTTTATTATGTGTATTGCAGGCTTCTAGTACCTGAACCAACCATCAACTTTGGAGGGCCACAAGGTCAATAGCATGCTTCTATAATGAATATTATGTTTTAAAAAAAAGAAATATATTACTTAGTTATTAGCTTCCACTTTCCAGCTTGTGTTTCTTTTTCTTTATAATGAAAAGGAGATAACTTTGTAAATGGGAATGGATCCTCTAATGTTTTATTTCACATGACTAGGTTATGTGAAATGATCTCAATCGTTCATAGACAAATCAACAATTATTCTTTCCTCACTCTCCATCTTAATGCATTCTCTCTCGCTCTTGTCACCATTAATTTGTCTATGGACAGTTAATATCATCTCACATGACCTGGTTATGTTAAATGATCCATTTCCCCTTTGTCAATAGATATGATAAAAATTTTAAGAGGCCTGCACAGATATTTTCTGATCATGGTGGCCTTGTAAGGTAAACTCAGGGAGCTCAATGTATCAATATCATTTGTTTATGACGTGAGCGCGTGACAAATGTTTTGGTTCTCAAGGATTATTTAATGGTTTTGGATTGGAAGTTCTGGTGTTTGGGCTAGCTCAAGAAGAATGAAGTGGGAAAGAGAAACATTGCAGATCTACATTCAGAGAGCATAGCATAGCATATTGATGAAATATAAGACTGAAATGTATTTTTCATATATTGATTGACACCCAAAGGGATCTTTATATACAGATTACAAGGTAGTTAAGGAGTTGAAGTAATAAATAAAATACACAATAACCGAAGAGACATCACACTACTCAAAGGGACAAGTAGCTAGAAACAAGTAAAAAACTCTAGAATATTCTACACTCCCTCTCAAGTTGGGAGATATATATTGATCATCCCCAACTTGCTAATTAAATCCTCAAAGATGGGTTTGTGTAATCCTTTGGTGAGAATGTCGGTTGTTTGCTCCTTGGTAGGTATATATGACAAACATACACTACCCTCCTCCAATTTTTCTTTGATAAAATGACGATCAACCTCCACATGTTTGGTTCTGTCATGATGTACAGGATTTTGAGCAATACTTACTGCAGCCTTATTATCACAATAGAGTCTCACAGGTAAAGAATAAGATATCTTTAATTCTCCAAGGAGCCTTCTTAACCAGATTCCTTCACAAATGCCATGGGCTAGCGCCCGAAATTCTGCTTCTGCACTGCTTCTGGCAACAACAGTTTGTTTCTTACTTCTCCAGGTCACAAGATTTTCCCAGACATAGGTACAATATCCTGAAGTGGATCTTCGGTCCATAGCAGAGCCAGCCCAATCAGCATCTGTATAGATTTCTATCATCCTCTTGTGTCCCCTTTTAAAGAGCATTCCTCGACCAGGGGTGTTTTTGAGGTGCTTGAGGATTCTATAAACAGCACTAAGGTGTTTTTCCTTAGGAGAATGCATGAATTGGCTAACCATGCTAACCGCAAATGCAATATCAGGCCAAGTGTGAGATAAGTAGATCAGCTTCCCTACCAACCTTTGGTATTGCTCCCTGTCAACATCTTTTCCATCTTCAATTCCCAATTTAATATTGGGTTCAACTGGAGTTTCTGCAGGCTTGCACCCAAGCATACCTGTTTCTTGTAGCAGGTCTAGAATATATTTCTTCTGAGATAAGGAAATTCCCGCCTTGCTACGAGCAACTTCCATTCCAAGGAAATATTTGAGAGATCCAAGATCCTTTAGTTCAAACTGACTAACTAAACCCCCTTTTAAAGATTTTATTTCTTCCCAGTCATCACCTGTGACAATTATGTCGTCAACATAAACAATGAGGATAGCAATCTTGCCACTATCGGAGTGTTTAAAAAATAAAGTGTGATCAGTCTGAGCTTGGATAAATCCTCTTTCTTTAACAACACGAGTAAACTTTTCAAACCACTCTCTAGGGGATTGTTTAAGTCCATAAAGAGATTTCTTCAACATGCATATTGAACCATCTCCCTGTTCAAAACCAGGTGGTGGATCCATGTAAACTTCCTCATGTAAGTCCCCATTTAAGAAAGCGTTCTTTACGTCCAATTGATGCAAGGGCCAATCAAGGTTGGCAGCAAGTGATAGTAAGACTCGGATAGAGTTAAGTTTGGCAACGGGAGCGAACGTCTCCTGATAGTCTATCCCATAAGTCTGAGTAAATCCTTTGGCAACCAATCTGGCCTTATATTTGTTGATGTTGTTATCTGCATTAAATTTTATTGTGAACACCCATTTGCAACCTACAGTTTTCTTTCCTCTGGGAAGTGCCACGGACTCCCAAGTTCCATTTTTTTTAAGAGCATCCATTTCTTCAAAGACTGCATCCCTCCATTTAGGGTCATTAAGTGCCTCTTGGATATTTTTTGGTATTTTTGTACCGTCTAATATAGTGTTGAAAGCACGAAAACCTGGAGATAACTTTTCATATGAAATGTGATGAGAAATAGGATGAGCAGTGCAAGATCTAGTACCCTTTCGAAGGGCAATGGGCACATCTAGGTCAGCTGTACCAGTGTTCTCAAGTGGATTGCTGGAACTAGGACTCGGGGCAGAATCCTGGCAGTCTAGAGGATCTTGAGGAGATTTACGCCTGCTGTAGAATTTTTCCCATTTACCGGGAGGATCTCCAGTCTCTGGTACAATTGCTGTCCTTGTCTCCTGTACATTAACTCCCCCTGACTCCAAAGGTAAAGAAACAACAGATGTTTCCAAGGGTAAAGGTAAGACAGTAGAATTATTTGGATTCCAAGACTTGTCTTCATTTATACCAATAGACTCCCCCTGAAGAGAAGTCGAGGGAAAAAATGATTGTGTTTCACAAAAAGTAACATCCATAGAAACAAAGACCTTTCGAAGAGAAGGTGAGTAGCACTTGTAACCTTTTTGATTAGGAGGATATCCTATGAAGACACATTTAACAGACTTATGATCAAGTTTGGACCTTTGATGTGGAGGAATATGAACAAAAACCACGCAGCCAAACAACTTTGGAGGAAGGGAAGAGAGAGCCCGAAAGGAGGGAAAAGAGCGGGTAAGGCAAGATATGGGAGAATGAAAATTCAGGACGCGAGAGGGCATCCGATTGATGAGATATGAGGCAGTCAAGACAGCCTCCCCCCATAGGTATTTAGGGACATGCATTGTAGACAAGAGGGCTCTAGCAACTTCAATGAGATGTCTATTTTTCCTTTCAGCCACCCCATTTTGTTGAGGGGTGTTAGGACAAGAACTTTGATGGATAATACCTTACTTGGTTAGGTAATCACCAAGAACAGAATTAAAATATTCAGTACCGTTGTCAGTTCGCAGGATTTGGATAGAGGTCTGGAATTGAGTTTGTACCATAGCATGAAAATTTTTAAAAGTGGCTGCAGCTTCAGACTTATCTTTTAGAAGATATACCCAGCATACTCTAGAATGATCATCAATAAAGGTAATACACCAACGAGTTCCAGATATATTTTTTTCACGAGCTGGGCCCCAAATATCACTATGAATCAATGTAAATGGAGACGAAACATGATAATCTCTAGGGAAATAAGAAACACGAGAGTGTTTTGCAAACTGACAATCATCACAAAAAAAGGAACTTGATTTTTTGTTGATAAATAAGTTTAGAAGCAGCTTTTGAAGATAAAAGAAATTTGGGTGTCCTAAACGACGATGCCACAACAAAACATCATTACAATCGTCTGATAAACATAAAGAGTGATTTGCAAAAAATCTCTTTTCATGAGAATCTTCTTCAAAATAATAAAGCCCTTCTTCCTCTCTAGCACTGCCAATCATCAGCCCCGAATCCTGTTCCTGAAAAACACAATGCAATTCAGAGGAAAGTTTACTAATAGAGATAAGGTTACAAGTAAGAGAAGGGACATGAAGGACAGAATTCAGAGTAATATGTTCAGAGAGCTTAATGGATCTCTTTCCCGCAATATTAGAGAAACTACCATCAGCAGTCCTTATTCGTGACTGGTGATAATAAGGGGTATAAGAACAAAACAGGGATGCATTACCTGTCATATGATCAGAAGCTCCCGAATCAAGAATCCAACGACAACTATGATCAACATGGAATGCCATACCTTGTTGAGCAACATGACTAGTTGCCTCAGCAGATTGAGACATCACCTTCTGAAATTGCTCATAATTCTTACCGTTTAAACGGTGGTTAGTAATCTGTATAGCTGGGTTGTCTCCGGAAGACGAAGAACAGGGAAGAGGAAAGACACCAGAAACATTACCGGATGATTTTTCAGAATGCTTATTCTCAGCCTCAATATTTTCAACTTCCATTGTTCAAAATAAAAAAAAAAAGCAAAAAAGGAACTCCAGTCGTTCAGAACCGAAAAATCACGAAGAGGAACCAACTGGACCCAGCAAGAAGAGTGCTCCAATCGTGATTTAAACCCCCAGAACAGGAAGAGGAAGGCCAGGCGAGCCGTTCTGTGAAAGCCGCGTGACAAACGGAGGCCGGCAGGGCGGCGCGTGGCTCACACGCGCCGGAGAGGCAGTTCTGCAGTGGCGGCGCGTGGCTGACTTTCCGGCGACGGGGCTGACGTGGGTCGACTCGGAAATGGCTTCTGAGTCCAATGGTGGCCTTGGTTTCGTGATTGGAGGGGTCCAGATATGGTTTCTGAGTTATTTTAATAAACAGTGAAAAATGGAAAATGGAAGGAAACGTGGAGGTTTACAAGATGACCACAGGATAACCTGCTCTTGATACCATGATGAAATATAAGACTGAAATGTATTTTTCATATATTGATTGACACCCAAAGGGATCTTTATATACAGATTACAAGGTAGTTAAGGAGATGAAGTAATAAATAAAATACACAGTAACCGAAGAGGCATCACACTACTCAAAGGGACAAGTAGCTAGAAACAAGTAGAAAACTCTAGAATATTCTACACATATCAATGTTCCAGATCCACCCACCAAGTTGATTAGCTGGAGTTCTAAGAAGATCCAAAGTTGGCTAGAATTTGTGAAAGAGAGAGATTATCAGCAATAATTAGAAGCACAGAAAAATGTAAATGGGACAATGTGCAAAAAAAGAAGCCCAGAAGCGGAAACAAGAAACAATCAAGAATTTTAGTTCAAATTGAGACATTTCAGATTCCAGTCGTTGAGTCAGTTCTCATAAAACTGGATAAGTCACGTGACATGAGTCAACTCAAAACCAGCCGATCACAAAATTCATACTGGCCTGTTACATAATCGAGTTACATGCTGCTCAAATTGGTCAAGATACCGGTTCACCAGTTTGCTGGTCTGGGCCAAGTTTTGTAACATTATGTGATTTAATTGCATCCTCATTTGTAAAAAAATTTAGTATGAAAATTATATTCTATTAAGATGGAATGCAACATTACAAATAAAGATTGATGTCTAAAATGAACTAAAAAGAGATAACATAACAAAGTAAACAAGCAAAAAAGAAAAAGGAATAAACTCACCGTAGGTCCCAAAACTTAAGGCCTTCATGTCCAGCGGTTACAATTATATTAGAACTCTCTGGATCACTGAAATATTATAACAAATCACATATCCCATTCAACATTATGAAGGTAAAAGGATGAACAAAGGACGTAAATACAGATGAATTTAGATATATGATATTTGCCGATGTAAGAAACTGTAAAGAACCTTGAGATACACCACCCCAAAAACTAGCTCAAAGGGTGGGAGTGCCCAAGGCCTTATAAAGGCCACATTAGTTGCACATACAACCAATGTGGGACTATATATCTCAACACGCCCCCTCACACAAGAGCCCATTGAGCTTGAAGAGTGGACAATGCAACAGGCCCAGCCTACCTGTGCTAAGAAACGCCACAAGAGAAAGTGGGGGACGGCGAGGCTCTGATACCATGTAAAGAACCTTGAGATAGAAACTAATGCCTTGTTTATTGTAGCAATCTTCATGAAGAAAACAAGGGTGCATGTATACACCATGGAAAAAAAATGATTGACTTGCAAATTATGTCCAGACACAAATGATGCTATTTTTATTACTTTTTAATAGGAAAGAGTTTGATTAAGAAGGAAAGCAGGCAGTCACATGAAAGAGAATTGATATCCTCTGGGCATGATAACACAAAAGAGGAATAAATCAATCTCTACAATGATTTCAAAAGCACACAAACACACGTATTAAGGAAATAAGTTTTACAAATTTTCTTAAAGACTTGTTTAGATTAGGTTGTAGCTGCCGTATCTATTAGAGTAATTTTATTCAACAAAGAGGTAAGACAGAGAAGCAAAAATCATAAATACATGCAAATTCTTTATAATCTACACAGAATTTAATTCTTCCAAATTCGTATAAAGATATACGATAAAAGCTATATAGATTCTATACAATCAACCGTCATGCCACGCCTGAGAAATTTCAATCATTACTAACCCTTCAAATGGAGCCCAGGCAACTGTTCTAATAGGAACCGTATCCCCACCGAAACAAAGCACAGGCTTTGTATCTGCAGATGAGCGCAAATGAGACAATAAACAACCTAGTAAATTTATTTCTCAACACAGCTTCCTTCCCTAACAACCAAATAGGTAAACATGAGACATACATCAGGTAACAAAAATATTACCATCACATTTTGAAGAAGCATTTGCAGAGAATTTCCACAAAGCAACCTAAATATAAAGCAAATTATATTAGTACTGAAATATATTGTCAAAAAAGATTTCAGATGACAATATACTGGTATTTTAACTAAACAATGAAATGAGAAACATAATAAATTATAGATGCACAGTTATTACAGAAAGATGAAGGAAGGGGATAAAAATTAAGAAAAAAAAATTAAAATGCGTTATCCCTTTTCCCTAGTAATCAAACTTCATGGGCAAATATATTTCCGAATTAAAGCAAGGTAAAGTTCAATTTAGAAAAGGCAAAGCACAGAAAATTGAAGAACATTTAGTGAATATTATACCGTTCCATCATGGCAGCCAGCAAGTAGATAGTCATGAGAGGGCGTAACTGACCACTCCACTGTTAGTGGAATGCTGTGAGATAAAACAATGGAGTAAATAAAAAAGCATCATGTAAATTCAATAACATTCTGCAGCTGCATCAATTAAACCAGCAGAAGCCAACAAGTCAATAACACTATATTCCAATAATCCAACGAGCCACCTTTTTCTAGTGATTCCAGCTTTTAACATCTTCCACATTGAATGAAGAGCAGAGGATTAAAAATAGGAGTAAACACCCTTTTTGGTCCCTGGCAATATCTACGAAATCCTTTTTTAGTCCCTGGCAATAAAAAAGGACCAAATTGGTCCCTAAAATTATGAAAAAAGGGCCACGTTAGTCCTTATGTCAACTCCTCCGTCACTAACGTGGCCCTTTTTACATACTGTTAGGGACCAATTTGGTCCTTTTTTATTGCCAGGGACTAAAAAGGATTTCGTAAATATTGTCAGGGACCAAAAAGGGTGTTTACTCTAAAAATAGTGTAAAGAACCAATTCAACCTAAAAACTTAAAGGGGGCGTTTGGTTCAGGAAATTTTTTTGGAATAGTAGGGAAATGAGATAGATAGAGAAATGATTAGAAAGATAGATAAAATGAGATAGGTAGAAAAATGTAAAAAAAAGTTGTTTGGTGGGGAAAAACTTTACTGAAAAAATTAGGTAACTTTATGAAATCAACAGTGCATTAAAAGCCAGATAACCGGTTTTTCGAAAAATCCCACCTTCAAATTGGGTTTCTAAACAGTGCGGATATCTATGTTTCTCATAAATCCAGACAAATTGGATAGATGAGTTTTTGGTAAAAAACGTTGAAACAAACATGGTGTTTCTAAAAGTCATACTTGAGAAAGATAGATATCCGCTGAGAAGCTCCCAACCAAACACCACCAAACTGTTGGGTGAGGTTACATTAATAGTTTTATATATTTCTAACAAATAGCAACTTTTAGTTCAGTAAAAAAAGTCTTAATATAACATGTTCTTTTAAAATGCACAAGGATTTCCCTCCCTCCTATCCTCTTTTTTTTTTTTTTTTTTTTTTTGTAATTTTTATAACAAGTTATTTTAAAAAGCATATTTTAAAACACTATACAGGGATGTAAATTGGTCACGCACATTGGAGTTTTTCAACCCAAACCTGAAAAACATCACACCAACCGCAACAGGAATAATATTACTTTACCTGAATGCAAATATCCAAATACTTCTATACAAAACAATCACACATACACAATCAGAACCTGAATTAGAGTCCCATTATTTATAAATGACATTATATACAAATTTATATTATGAAAAATAAGAGGGTTATTTTTTCAAAAAACAAAACATATGATGAGTTCATGAATTTTTATTGAGTTTAAAAAAAATAACAATATTACTGTTTGAACTTGGTTCATTTAAATTTGCTTTAAGAGTAAACTAATGAAAATTAAGCATTAAGAAAGCATGCACTTATGACCAAAAGTAATATCTTTTAATTCTATAAAATAATTTAAATTGATAATTGCAGATATATAGGATATGCTTAAAAAATTACAACTAAAATCACAAAATAAATCTAATTAAAATTAAATTCTTGAAAAAATTTAGTAAATATTTGTGTATGCAACAATAAGTACTTTTGATAAAATGGGTTCATTTATTTTATTTTTTTTAAATTGTGTTTACTTCAAATTTGTTTATCTAATTATTAAACACATAAATGAATTTAATTTAAATTTCTCTGAATTTTTTTCTTCAGCGATTGAATTTGTTCATGATTTATTTTTTAAAAAAAAGTAGATGGGTTTAAAGTCCACACAAGAAGGAGGAAGCATACCTTTGGAAGCCACCACGCTTCAACCTTGAGCATTTAAATACGGGCTCCAATTTTATAAAGCGTGGATCAGTGCCTTCTTTATGCATATAAATTGCTCTCAATACATGAGGAAGAGGAACCTCCCACCTGCAATTGACGAGTATAATGAAGCAACAACAAAAGCAATCTCACTTGATACTAGATAAAAGAAACTCATTTTTGTGGAGAAAAATCAATCAATTTGTCATTCAAAAGGAACAAGTTTTATCAATTTATCAGTGACCTCTCTACTTAAATAATTCCTTAGAAACATTGAAGAACAATTCTATGGAATATCTACAGCCAGTAGTGAAATTTATGATAAAGTTAGAAAGAACAGTATCATTTGAAATTACACAAGATATTATTAAGTTAATAGTGACTGACAAATTCTGTTATAAAAAGAAAAATACTGTCCTTAAAGGAAAAATGTTTAACTCAGAAAGGAGTAGAATTAGAAACCCACAGAGCCTACTGCCTGCCCATTCCATTCATCCTGCTCTTGTGCGTAACATAAATCTCTCCTGATTTTTTTTCCCCACATAAAAATCAGACTAGATCGTTCTTGTTTCAAACTGATTATTGTTCTACAGCCAATTACGACTAAAGACCAAAATTTTGTCCGCTCTTTTCCTTTAAAGATTTGTTGTTAAATGTTTGCACAGATAAAAAATATAAAAAAAATAAACTGAAAGACAAATAAAAAGTGTACTAACTACTGACTATTTATTTACTGATGTGATTTTACTTCAGCTTTTAGAATAAACTTTGTAACTATATACAATATAGATACCTGAATAACAAACTAGAACCACATTATGATCTTTTAGGTTTATTTTATGATAAATTGGCCTGGGAAAACACTTTCTTCTTATGCCCCATAGGTTGTACCACATTTCATTCAAACTATATCAACTGTCAACCCTAATTCGCTTTTCAAGTAATTGTCCTCTGTCCATTATGTTTCATTCAATTCAGGGGAGTTAGTTATGATATGGTTATTATACTATAATATTTAGAATTGTATTTACTTAAAATATTCAAATTTCTAATACCTGAAAACTAATAAAATATGCCAGTCAGTAGCAACATATAAACACAGTTAACAAAAATAAATAAATAAATCATTTAAGTATAGCGAGAATGAGGCTTATGACATCTTACACTTCTAGAGATCCATTGCCCAACAAGACAGCAAGATAGCCCATTCGGTGCTTACATAAGGAATCAGAAATGTTAGTAGGTCGCCATTTCACATCCCATGCCACCTTTCCGTTATGAGCTAGGCATGACACAACTCTTGGCAAAGTTACATCTCCTGGAATAGAACAAGCAGCTGCCTGAGGACCCAATTCTGAGTTACAATGCTTATGATTTTGTGCCTCATTCTCACCCTGTATCAATAATGGCTGACTAATATCTTGGTTATATTTCCCCTCCATACTATTAATTTTCAACCTACTCCTTTTAACAAGACTTTTTGGAATAGTATTGCATGCAGAAGCAGCTTTTTTGGCATGCTTTCCCTTTGTAACTGAATATTGTTGCAAAGCATATTCACTGCAATTGCCAGGAGTCCTATCTGGAGAAAGAAATTCAGCTGAATCTTCTGGAACTTGAACTACAAGAGCTTGCACAGATTGGTTCTCATATTTTGGATCAGCCGATGTTAGTTCATCTGAATTCTTTTTAGGTCTTCGTCTAGGTCTCTTCCCATTGAAATTACCATGAGCCACATCTGGACAAATAAATTCAGCTGAATCTTCTGGAACTTGAACAAGAGCTTGCACAGATTGGGTCTCACACACTGGATCACCAGCTGTTACTTCATTTGAATTCTTTTTAGGTCTTCCTCTAGGTCTCTTTATCAGTGATGATTTTTCATTCATGGCTCCATTTTTTTTAGGTCTTCCTTTTCTCTTGTTTGTAGCAGGAAATATTTCTTCATTCTTTTCAAGATTCCCATCTGGAGCAGTAAACTCAGTACAATTTTCTGCAAACTGAACAGCAAGAGCTGGCATGTACTGGGTCTCACAGTTCGTATCATCCACTGCTACTAATGTTAGATTCTTTCTTGGTCTTCCTCTAGGCCTCTTTATTTGTGTCGATTTGTCATTTGCGCCTCTATCTTTCTTAGGTCTTTCTTTTCTCTTCTCTGTGAGAGAAGATACCTCTTCGTTGGGTCCCCTGATATTTAGAAGACACCATATTTGGATGACACCTCTGCCAGTAAGTGAGGCACCCATCTTGTGATAAGAAGAGCCAGGTGGATGAGCAGCAACAGCAATAAACTAAAACAAATATCAGAGAGAAGGTCATTCAATTTACAACTTTTACAAAAAAAAAAAAAAAAAATGTCCATTATTTCCTACTTCCATGTTGGAAGAGTAAAGCTTAGTGTATCATTTCACTAACATACTAACATAAATGCAGACTGACAAAGCAACTACAACATTATTCCAAATATGTATATAAAGTATGTATAATGTAGAACATAGGAGAACTTTAAAATAGGAAGAAGAAAAAAACCAAAAACCTTCACATACAAGGCCTAAATCATCATTAAGGAAACTGGGAACCAAAAACCTGCTCCAATAGCATCAACTCTATTCCTCCCCCCTTATTTTTACTTCACATACAAGGCCTAAATGATGTTGCATGATAAAATAATAATAATAATAACAACAAAATTACTGTATTTTCCTTTGATGTGCCTCGGGCAAATGTGATTTTCCAAGCTGGAAATTATAAGAATTAAGTAATAAAAGAGCAATTTAAATACAAATTTGCTTATTATATTGATTCTTCTATGTTAATGATATTTCTCACCTATTGGTTGTGTTTTTACAGGAAAAGGAAGTGAAAATTATAAAGAGCCTGTTAACGCAATTTCACACGGGTGCGGAGCAGTACAAATTCCAGCAACATGGCGCGGACTGGCGCCACACTGGTGCGGACCCGCGCCAGTTTACGAACTGTGAAGCGGACACTTGGAAGTGGCGCCAACTGGCGCCGGTTTACGAATTTTGCACCGAAGCTTGCAAGTGGCGCCAACTGGCGCCAAAGTGAAGCCAACAAGCGCCACAAGTGAAGCCAACTAGCGCCACTTTTGGAGAACCAAATTGTCACAGTGGCATGGCGCCAGTTTTCGTGAATTCAGTTCCGGCTTTTCATATCAGGCAGAAGCATGGCGCCGACTGGCGCCGGTTTGCGGGAAAGTTACACTGTGCTGTCTGAGGGTATTTTTGGAAGAAAGAAGCGAGGTTTATAAATAGGATCCTCATGACAGAAGAAAAGAGGAATCATATTCCGAAGACCAGAGACGACGGTGGTGCTCAGGGAGAGTCTTGCAAGGAGCTATTTCATCTTCTTCTTGTAATTTACCAGGTTTTATGAATATTGAATATTTAGCCATGATAATGGTTGGCTAGTTTATTTTTATTGTAGTTAGGGTCACAAACCCTATGTGAACCCTTGTTACGACGGATTGGTTTACTTTTACTCGTTTATATAAATTATCTTTATCTCTACCCTGTGCGTATTTTATATTTTCTTTATTAGAACTGATCAATCTGATAGTTGAAGATAGTTTGAGGGTTAGAACCCTAGATAGGAATATTGGGGTTTTCATCTTGAAAGGGGGTAAGATAACAATTATTATGCATGCTAGGAATAGATGTATATTTAATTGCAGATGCTTAAATTATCGAGTTCATTGCTTAATGCCATGAGGAACATTTCAAGGAATTGGGGTTCCAATTGGGATTAAAGGGTTAACCTTGCAAGGAATTAAGGGTTACTATTAATATTTTTAGATAATAATTTATCTGAGTAATTATATAATTGAATATTGTAAATCAATCCAAAGTAAGAGGTGGGGATTATAAGGTGAGTGCACTCTAGCTACAATGCTTTTCTCATATTTTCTTACAAATCAATTCTCATCTTTATTGTTCTATTTCTCATAACAAAAAGCCAAAAACAAGTATTTATTTTCAGTTCTCACTTTTAAACAAATCGACAATATTTGTCACAAACTATTTGAACTCCTCCATTCTTGAAAGGACGATTATTTGATATACGATCACAATCCCTGTGGAGACGAACTTTTCTTATCATTATATTACTTGTGCGATCGGTATACTTGCCGGGAAGCATCATCCTCTTTCATCCATAAAAAGTCCTAAAATCTAGTTGTTAAGAAACCTTTCACAATCACCATATTGATCCTAAAACTGTTTCATTAACCTTATCCAGCCAGAACCGTAACTTCTCCACTACCTATAAAAAGCCCCCTAACCTCTGACTTCCTACTTTATTGTCACAGTAAAACACTAAAACCCAACCCCATATTGTCAGGATAAAAAATAATACCAAAATTACTATATTTTCCCTTTAGTCCATAATAGTCCTAAAACCAAGTCATTAAGAAACTTTTCACAATCAACGTATTAAAAATTTGTTCACCAGGAAAAAAAAATTCCCATGAAACCCCGACAAGCGAAGGTTTATACACAATCTTTTCCATGTATTTTTGCAAAGAGATTGTTTCCTTAGATTCAAATCAGTGACCTTTCATGCACAAAGGATCAATTGTATCACTGTTCAGGCTCACCCTCAAATTTGTTTACCATTAGATTTAAGAGAGAGAGAAGAGAAAAAAGAAATCTTTATAGTTGTACAGCCCATAGCTTCTGCTGCTATTTTGTTTAAACTTCGTTACATCTTTGCTTTCAAACTCCAATATTTTCAGAGCCTAGTTCAACACTAGAAGGCAAGTTTCTTAACTTCTCCAACCTTACCTCCCCATGAAATTTCAAATAGGCTATCAACCTTAACATTTGAGATATCAGAGCCATCAAACAGACAGATTCACCATTTAGATTGCATTCAAACTTTAAACATTTCCCGTAACAATAAAAATAACCAACAGCAAGGCTCAATAGATGTCTTAAAGGAAGAGAGAAAACCAAATACCTCACATTCAAATGAACAATCAGGCTTTTCATGTATCCGAGGACACCAATCTAATGCCCATACAGGGCCTCCAGCATTCATCACAAAATCTCTGCTACAACAAGACTTAAGTATTAAGCGAAGCCAAGTTAAATAATAAGTAGAGATGGAATACTTTAATTTATCATAAAGTTCAGATATAAGTGTTAAATGATTGATACAAACATGCACTATAAGTATAACTCCGTAGCAATGTCATTGAATAAACCAACACAAATTCCTAATATCTTAGCCATACCTGGATTCCCGAGAATTGGCATCCCCAAGTTGATCCTCCCATCGCATATTATGCTAAGAAAAACACACACAATGATAATATTAAAAACCTTTTTGCAATACAAAATCTGTAACAGACAGTATAGTTATTAATTAAAACCTAAGAGTGCATTTGTTTCAAGGTATTAGGTAGACTATAGCAATTGCATTCTTTACAAAATTCATCTGATAATCAATATACAATATTATTCCTGCTCATAGTATTTCTAGTAATGTCATTCTTGGGAATACCATTATTAACTTGAAACAAATGCCTCCTATAAGGCAAATTGTTCTGAGGAAATTTATGTAGTCAAGACTAGCCCTGAATGGGCAACAAATAAGGAATAATACAATACAAAAGTAACAAACCGCTTGTACCTTAGGAACAGTGGCAGACGAAAACTGAGGTAAATTTATGGCACTGTCATCCTTTCCCTCAGAGCTCTCAGGGCTCCCAAGTCCGTAAGCAAACATAATGCTTCTTGATGGATATTTAAAATCTCTCCATTCTCTGCACATTTAACGTCAACAAAAAAAATAAGAAATTAAAGAGGTGCTTGGGAACTTCTATAAACTATATATCCAAATCCAAGTATATCACAGCCTGCTTTTAAACATAATGTGTTAGGTAAATACCTAAATTTTTCAAAACTGATTCTGATGGAAAAACAATTTTGAAATATATAATGTGATAAAAGTTCTTTACCATAGCTTCCATCATTGAACAGATAATAAGCTCAATTAAAAAAAAAAAAAAAAAAAAGAAATCGAAGCGTTTGTTTGTACCTTAAGAAAGTAACGGAGGAAGATATTCTCTGGATCTCGCTTTGCTCAAATGCAGCGTAGTGTTGTTCTTCCCCGCAGAGTTTGGCAATGGTGTCCATGTCTCTGAAAAAATTCTCAACCGAGAAATCGAACAGAGAAATCCTAACACCGGTACTTGTACGAGCATCACCACCATCGTTTGCGGCAACGACTATCGCAGAATCCTCAGCTGCTTCCACGCCAACTGTCTCGGCCGTTTTCTTCGTCTTCTTATTTATCTTCTTCCCTTTGAATCCAAATAGTTCAGCAATACATGCGTCCTCATTCGCTTCTTCCATTCCTAAAGGAATTTCAAATATTTGGATAGTAGGATTCGAACCCTAGACCAGTCACTCTGTTGATGGATAAGCCTTCAGTAGCCCTTCACTTATATTCGTATTTTATTTTATGTTACATATGAATTATATAAAAATATATTTTTTTTATAAATTAATTATTTTACATTGAATGGATATAATTGGAATTTTCATTTTTCTTACTTAAAAAGTAAAAAGTTGTATACCCGCCTTGGGAATAAAATTCCATTGCAATTTGCAGGATTTGTGATCAAAATGACATGTTTTATCAAAAAATTTATTCAAATATCACGTGAATAGTATTTTTTACTAGATTACCACGTGTTATAATTCGTTATCATTGATATTTTGTGGCCATTGCATGTGTCAGAGAATAAGAATTTTAATTTTATTTTCTGGAGGGAGGGTACCAAAGCGCGGAAAACAATTCAAAATGACAAATTCAATCGATAAAACTTCAATAAAACGATCTGTTCAGATAAAGAACAATTGCACAATGATAGTGTATCAAACTACACAATCGCATGGATATAAAACTGAAGCTAAACTACTTGCGATTATGTAGTATGAATAGACTGCGAGACATTGTGAGGAATTCAATTGCAATGTGTTAACATTATTAAGTAGCATGAAATTTAGAAATCCAGGTACCTACAAAAGAGACAGTACCTAAAAATGTCAATGCAATAGTATCAATTTATAACCCAGAATCAAAAGCAACACCAAAGCAATAATAACCACTGAATAAGTTTTGCGTATAAAACATACAACACTTGATATATAGGATGCATTTGATTTGTTAAAAAATAATGGACAACATAGCACAAAAAAAAATTGAACTTCAAAATTCAAATAAAATAAATAGGGAACAAAAAGCTAACTTAAGGACAAACCCCATTGCACAATGCTTTACTATTTGCTAGGATAGAGACGAGGGTCAATTATACTCAGTCTTATCATGATATTTTTACAAAGAGATTATTTCTTAAACTTGAACGTATGATCTTCTAGTCGCAATGAGCAATCTTATTGCTACTCCAAGCCCTCAAAAAGCAACTCAAGGGACACAAAATCTCTGAACTTTTGCTTACCACTAAATGAGATTACAAAATCTTGTCCACCGCACCAAAAAAGTAAAAGACCAATAATCCCTATTCCTTCATTGTCCTAGATTTATTTTCTACAAAACAAAAGGTATTAAGATAAATGGATATTGCGAATTTATTTTTTTATTTTTTTTGTAAATTATTGCAAAAATTTTAGTCCTAACTTGGGTTGTACTTTTTTATTTGTACTGTCACGCAATATCCATCGAACTCATCCATATAGTACGGTTTTTTGACCTTTTTGCCCCTCATTAATTAATTAATAACCAATTTGCCCCTCGTCCAGAACTATCCACCAATCTGCCCCTCTTTAAACGACTAACTTGAAGTTATAGCCGATTAAATGGTCAAAATTCAGAAAATTTGTCAACACGAAATATAGTCGATTAAAAATCCCTCTTGATCGATTAAATTTTGGGATTTTTAATCGACTACAACACAATATTTAGTCGATTAAATGTCGGCAGAAACCTTATATGTTGCAAGTTCTCGGTCTCATTTCGAATATTATCGTTGTGGAAACCAATATATCTCTCGTTTTTCATGTGTAATCCTTGCAATCCCAATGTATTTCATCCCACCGCCCGTAAAGCCTTAATATTGTGAAATCATTGTCATTGCACAACTCCAAACCCCCAATTTCAGAACCCTAGTCCAAAATTCATGTGAAAGATGAGCACAAGTCCAAACATGTATGTAACAATGATCTATTATGATGGAAAGCATTATGAAGGCCCCAATGGTGTTCAATTTGAAGAAAAAACGAAAATGTTGAAAATCAAACGGGGTACTACATACAATGAGCTAAAGGGGAGAATTCCCGAAAAATTGGGTCTGCAAGGCAGCCAATGCGTTCAGAGGATGATCGCCAGGGTAAAGTCTACAGTTGGTAAGGATGTTATATACTACATTGGTAAAGATACATGTGATAATGAAGATCTGGAATGTGTCATAGATGCAATTGTTGACCGAAAATTTCAAAAATTTGTTGAGATATATGTTGAATTAGATTGTGATCAATCTTCATCTGCACCCATGCATAGAAGAAGTGAACCATTTTTTGGTCAAGAGGAAAGAGTCGTCGATTTATCTGCGCATGCACCTGTCATAAGTCAAATAACACTGAGGGAAATAGATGAGGATGAGCAGGAGAAGGATATGGACAGTGATGAGGACGGTGAACCTGAGAGTGTTATTCCGCTAGGTGACACGTCAGATACTGACGTAGAGGGTGATTTTGACGCTGACACAAGCTCAGGATACCTGAGTTCCCTGGATACGCGACCACTTCGTGTTGACCCTATTAGCAGTGGTAAGATTCTTTTTTAAAGATTTAATTTAGCATTTCTTCTTTGTGTTATCATTGGTATTGACGGTGGCGTTATAAATTTTGACATAGGTTTTGAGATCGAGTCATTTTGGAACGAAAGCCCACATTATTCCTTCATTAATTGGGCCTACCCTAATGATGAAACAGATATATTGTATGGTGACGATGACTTGCACGGTGGCTGGCAATTAGGGGATCCATTATATTTGTATCAAGAGTTTTGTAGCAAATCTGAAATGCAACATACAGTGAAATTATATTGTATGAAGGCTCATCGTACTACCGTTGTGGCAAAAAGTGATGACCACAGATTTGTGATGAAGTGTCGACACCATAATGATGGATGTCCCTGGTATGTTAGGGCAATGTTGCCGAAGAATGGAAATACTTGGGTGGTCAGTAAGTGGGGCAAAGAACACACCTGCGTAAACAAAGGTCTTACCCGGATCATAGACAGTTGGATTCTGATGTGATATGTGCAGCCATTATCAGTACGTATTATTCGATGTATCTAACTTCCTAAAACAAATGTTTATGTTTATCAGTTTGTATTCTGACGGTTGATGAACAGAGTTTTTTGTTATTATATAGTTAAAAGAATATCCATCTTTAAAGCCAGTTCTTATTCAAGAGAGGGTACAACGTTTGTATGGATACAACATAATCTACAGGAAGGCTTGGAAGGCTAAAATGAAGGCCATTGTGAAGTTATTTGGTGACTTGGATAAATCGTACGCATTCTTTCCTGGTTGGCTGACATACATGACGCAGGTTAATGTGGGTTCTGTGTTCAAGATTGATACGGACCAATGTGTTGATGAACGTCGAGTTTACACGGATAAGGCTGTCTTTCACAGGGTATTTTGCACATTTCACCAGTGCATTGAGGCCTTCAAATATTGTAAACCCATAATCCAAATTGATGGCACACATTTGTACGGTAAATACAAAGGAACCCTTTTGATTGCTACGTCACAAGATGAAGATGGATACATTCTTCCTATTGCCTTTGCTATTGTTCCTCTGGGTGAGAGATTGGGTGATTGGTCGTGCTTTCTTAGCCACATGTGTTTTCATGTTACGCAGAGGCATGGCATTTGTCTAATATCCGATCGTCATCCCAGCATCATAAGGGTTGTAAGAGATCATGACGGTTGGCAGCCACCATTTGCGTATCGCGTGTCTTGTCGTTGCTTCGTGCGTCTCTCACTTTCGAGATCGCTTGTTCTTCTGCGTCCTGCCATTTTTACAAAATACCTACAATGAAAGTGGAAATATTAGACAAGAAAGATAAATCTTTGAACTCATGAATCAATAAAACAGAGACAAAACTCAATCATGAAAAGGGGGAACATCTCCTAAACCCTAAAGTTTATCTTCATGAATCAATATGACAAACTCAAGAGGAACAACATGCTACCATAAAGCAGAGACAAAACACCAAATAAAAAAACAGAGACAAAACAACATGCTACCATAAAAAAATGTACAAAAATAAAATAAAAATAAAAACAAAACATAAAAGACAATGCAATTTAAAAAATAGTACCTAGCCTTGATGTTTCACGAATTAGAGGGTATTTATGGTGCAATCCACACGCCTGGGGAGGGGTTTGGGTTGTTCTTGTGGAGGAGTGTCGATTTGGGGTTTAGGAGAGAGGTTTAATCGACTAGGGTTTCATTACACCCCCTCTGCCAAATGGGGGGTTTTTAAAAACATTTCTGTCGAATTTTAATCGACTAAATAATGACTGTAGTCGATTAAAAATCCCAAAATTTAATCGATCAAGAGGGATTTTTAATTGACTATATTTCGTGTTGACAAATTTTTTGAATTTTGACCATTTAATCGACTATAATTTCAAGTTAGTCGATGAAAGAGGGGCAGGTTGGTGGATAGTTCTGGACGAGGGGCAAATTGGTTATTAATTAATTAATAAGGGGCAAAAGGGTCAAAAATCTCATATAGTACTCTAGTGAAAATAAAAACACTTACCCCCTCCCCTAATTCAAATCTAATATAGAGAATACTTGTAGGGGGTGTTTGGTAGAGAGAAAAAAAATTTACTAGAAAAATGTAATTACAAGAAAAAATGTGAAAAAGTAAATTTGGTAGGAAAGTTTAAAAAAAGTTGTTTGGTACCGCAAAATATTACTGGGAAAATTGAGTTAAATATTCTAAGTCTATGTTTGGTTGAAAATAAAATTTTGATGGGAAAATGGGTAGAAATTATGAAAGTAACCTTTCTTTAAAATTTTGAATGTTACAACACATAAACTTGAGCTTGTCTTCGACATGTGCAGTAACATCTCCATATGTCTGTCTTGAGACTCTCTCTGTCCTGTCTCCAGACGGCAACCTTCACCATCGCACGGTGACTGAGCCTGTGGTGTGATTTCTCAGTCAACAGCCACAACAAAGCTTGGAAATTAGGGCGATGGTCTGCATTGGAGCGATGTTAGGGAGCTTAGGGTTTGACTTGCAAGCTGGCACCATAAGGAACCATAAGGCATGTTAATCCTTTCATGAAAAGCTAAAACATGTA